GGTTTGAGGCCCTGTCTCGTTGCAGTTGTAATTTTGCATTTCAGATTTGCATGATGTTGAGCATCTTTTCCTACCAGACTTGGGTTTCGTGAGCGGGCCTTGGGGTGGCTGGGTGTTTCTCAGTAACGAGAAGACAGCCCGGAGAGAAGACTTTTTACCCTCTTAGCAGTCTTCCGAAAAAGTCTCAGGACGAGTTCTATGTGTAATATGACAGACACTGTGCGCCCAGCACATAGGAGGGCTTGATACATTTATATTTTGGGTGAGCAAATAAGCCACGAAGGGGGAGGTGCCAGGCGGGTACCACAGTACAGTAGCCGTTGGGGCCTCCAAGGCACATGCTGGGCTCTGCGCCTGAGGAGCGGTTGCGGCAAGTCTGGGTGGGAGCTCGCAGCTCTGTTGAACAGAGAAGGGGGCCAGCAGACAGCTCGAAAGTTTGTTCACATGTAGGAGCAAGGGAAAGTGGTGAAAGAGCTGGGAGTGGAGCTTCTCAGAGAGAAACTCTGAGATGGGTTCTGAACAGGACAGAGGGCTGCCCTGGGCTGCTCTATGGGACACAGTGGTGAGGCTGTGAAGGGTCCTCACAGAGCGAGGGCCGGTGCGGCCCCCAAGAGAGGAACTGCGGGTGGCCAGGTGAAAGAAGACCTTTAAGAATAAAGATGTCTAACGGTTAGTTGTCAGCTGTGGCTGTGATATTCTGCAGTAACGATCCATTGCCCCAGTGTTCACTGAAGTCTCTCTTATGCAGGGACTCGCTGGTGACGGTGTGTGGGGCGAAGGCACTGGGCGGGGCTCAGCTTGGGGCAGACGAGGGTCAAAGGCCAGAAGCAGGAAACACAAATGTGGAAGCAGAGGCCACTGGAAGGAGCACAGGTCCCCAAGAACCCCCTCCTGCTGCGGTTGCTGCAGGGATTAAAATATGCGTCTTTGACACAGCAAGTCTATTCAGAGTCAATATTGCCCCACTTCAGGACAAATGTGTAATCATATACTCCCTTTCCCACCGCATGCATTATAAATACTACAGCAGAATGTTACCCTTATCGCTTTATACAATCACAGTTTATCAAGAGACAAAGTCTTTTATATTTGTCCGCAAATTTACCATTTCTTCCCAAACAGCTGAGTTTCTGCCTATTATCATAGCCCCCCAGCATAAAAATGTCCCTTTAGCATTTTTGTAGCAGGTCCAGTACAAACAAATCCTCTCAGTTTTCTTTCATCTCAAAAATGTCTTTATTTCAGCTTTGTTTTTGAAGAGTATTTTCACAGGGACTAGCATTCTGAGTTGGGTTTTTAAAAAATGTCTATTTGTCTACTTGATTTCCTGCCTTTTTATTTATCTCAGGAGTGTTCTCATTCGTGTCGTTGGCCGTGGTTATAACAGCTGCTATTGTATCTCTGTCCAATGTCTGTTGTTTATCTTTTCTTCTTAGACGTGTATGTGTCTCTCCCTTCCTCTCTTTCTCTCTAAAATGAATGAATAAGTCTTTAAAAAATAACTGAAGCGGACCATTTCTGGGGATAAGCTGGAAATTGGCATGCAAATTCAGTTCACATCCCAGGCACAAAAACTCAGTTCCTCATAATGCAAAGGAGGGTGCCCCCTGTCTGCCGCTCCGCCCCTTGCCAAGGCTGCGGTGCATGGCATCTTGCCATTCACGGGAATTCAGCACCTCCTGGCATCCAGGGCTGCCCCTGCCAACCTGCTCTGCAGGCCGGGGCTGGGGTGAGGCGAGTGAGGCATCGGGGTGCCACATGAAAGATGGTGCAGGCTCGGGTGGGCACCTGAGAGTGAGTGCCCCCTCCTGTCGTACCCGGAACCCCCCTTGCCTCATCCTAATGTCCACCTTCCTGAGCACAGGAGCAGCCTGTCACTGTCCACCCGAGTCCTGCAGGATGACACGTGGGCCATGAGTCACTTACTCCGTGAGGGAAGATGGAAAAAGCCAGCGGAGGGAGAGACAGGAGTGCTGGTGCTGAGTCCCACGGGGACAGGCTGGCCCAGAACTGCCGCGGGCCCAGAGCCGCAGCTTGGGTCCCCAGATCGCTACCAGCCGGAATGGCGAGGAGTGCTGGCCACCACTGCCACTCCGTCCACTGTGAAGCACAGCTGGGTCCCTGTGCAAGCACTTCCTATCTGTCCCCCAGAGTTCACTGCCATTGGCTCAGGCTATCTGAGCAGCTCTGATCTGTGTGACTAAAGCCATCCAACTAGCCCCCCGTCCCTGCCCCATCTTAGCTACCCTCTTCAGCTGGTCCCCTGGCCTTAACTAGTGCTCCTAAACTCAGCTAGTTTCTCTGGCCTCAGCTAGCTTCTCCTTGGCTTCAGCTAGTTCACCTGGCCTCAACTAGCCCCTCAATGCCCGTGTCCTGAAGGCTTTCCCAGACTTAACCCGCCCCTTGATTTCTGGCCTTGCTCATTTCAGGCCTTCACCCACACCTGGGAGGGCCCTCTACCTGCCTCCTTCCAGGACCTTCCCACAGAGCCCGAAGGCCCTGCTCAGGTGCCTCCCACCTCCGCCTCTCCCAGGGCCCACCTCCACCCGCGGCAGAGTTCCAGGGGGAGGGAGGGGCTGCAGTGCCACCGAGGGCCCACCACAGGCCAGGCCAGCCCACCCGAGTCTCTGCAGGGCTCACGGGGCCACACAACCACACCCCACGCACAGCACCCTGCTCCCCACTTTAGAGATGAGGGTGCAAAGGCTCAGAAAACCTAAGTGCCCCGAGTGAGTTCATACTTTTAGGAAATGAAAAACAAGACATCTAAACCCCACTCTGTCTGACCCCACAGCCCAGGCTGCGCCACCCCTGCCACGCCTGTGGCCTCCTTCCTAACCGTGCGGACTCCCGAGGCCCAGAACAAGCCATCAACACGCACATGCTGAGGGGACGAGGGGTGCCCCCCACTGCACATGCCCAGGATAAAGGGACAGACAATCCTGGGCTGTGGCCTGTGAGAGAGCTGACGGGCGCAGACGGCCGCCCAGACAGGACAGAACAGGGCGGTAGCCGTCCCGGGCTCTCCCCGCCAGTGCTGCTCTGGCACCAAGCAGATGCCCCCACAAGGGACCTTGGGGGCTGGGGGGGTCTCTGATGAGACCGGGCGTTTGCTTTCCAGAAGCTCCCTTCCGGTTGGAGTGAAGCCCGGGGCCCGGGCTCGCAGCCTGGAGAAGGCTCTGCCCCCAGATAGCTGGGTCTCCATGGAAATTGTTTTGCCGAGAGAAAGGAGCTATTTTAAGGACCTGCGAAGGGAGAACCTGTAGGCTGGGCTTCGGGAAGGTAGCTGAGGGAGAGAGCTTTTCTGAAAGGCTCCCTAAGTGCCCCCTATCAGGGTGGGAAAAGAACTGGAACCCAGAAAGGAGGGGCAGCCGCAGGCTGATTGACCCTGTGGACTGGCCCTTCAGGCCAGTGGGGGTGCTGGGGAGGGTGGAGATGCCCAGGCCCAGCCAGCTGCTGTTAGAGAATATCCTCTACAAAACAACACCTTCCTGTTGGCACAAAATCTGCATTCAGAGAATCATGCAGAGAAGAAAAATTTTTGCTTCTTAAAACAAATAATTGAAGCAGCCTCTGCGATCTCAGGGGTAGGGGGCCCTTTGGTGAGGAGAGCTCGTTCAGCCATCAGCCCGCTTGGTTAGGAAGCTGGTGAGCAAAAGCTGACACAAAAGAGTGATGCTCCTCGAGCCACAGTGGGGTTGTATCCCCATAAATCCTTTGCAAATTGAAAACATCACAAGTCAAGCCCTGGCCAGTGTGGCTGTCGGTTGGGAGTTGTCCTGAAAAGTGAAAAATTGCTGGTTCATTTCCTGGTCCGTGCACGTGCCTAGGTTGTGAGTCAGGGTGCTGGGTGAAGCCAGTTTGAGTCAAAGTGAAGAAAAAAATCAAAATAAAGGGTCAATTAGAGAAATTAAGGGTCCTTTGTGGTGGTACCTGTGTTGGAGCTTCAGCAAGAGGCATGAGGGGCCCTGAGCTCACTCAGGCCACTGGAGCTCAGGACCAAAGGTGACGGACGGGGAACCCAACGTGCACCCCACTCTGCCGCTCACCCTGCTTCCCCTGGGGACCCTCGGAAAGGGCACAGAGGCCGGGAGGTGCATTTTGGGTGGGGGCGGGAGCTCGAGCTCTCTGTTCTCGCCCTCAGCGTGCAGCGTGCCAGCCCACCCTGGCAGCCACTGGGTAGATGATGGATGCAGGGGGGCCTGGCTTACGGATGTTAGGGTATCTCAAGCTGTCCCTCCACCTTGGCCCTTGGCCTATGGAGTCAGAAAGCTGGTGCCAAGGGACATTGGTCAGGCTCTGTGTGGGGACCAAGGAGGGATCCTGCGGGTGTGGGCATCCCATCTGAGCAGGGGAGAAGCCAAGGTCACAGTGGGTGCCCAGTCAGTGTCTGCCAGTCCAGGGGCCATGGCTGAAGGGCAGCAAGCAGGTTGCTCCATGGCTGCCAAGAGCACCGCTCCCTTGAGCTCTGTGTGACGTCTCAGCCAGAGCAGGGGCTGAGGAGCTGGAGGTGCAGGGTCGGTGGCCCAGGCCAAGGCACCCAAGGCACATCGGGGGAAGCCAAGCAGCACCCACACTGGCCCCTTGGGCTGGGAACCTCTCCCTAACCCATGGACAGTGCAAGCTGCCTGAGAACGCTGGGAGCTGGAGGCCCCTGACCTGAGCAGTTAATACATGTTGATTGTCTTTGGAGCTTGGCCACAGACACTTCCACAAGCCGTGAGGAACTTGGGAGTGCAGGACAGCAGGTGGTGAGCGAGGGGATGACACTGGTAGAAGTGGGGTGGCTGCAGGTGCCGAGTCATGCAAACACGGGTGACATCTGCAGCTGTTCTGGATCCAGGCAGAACTTAAGACTGGGCCCAAGGAGTCCCCTCTGCTCAGTGCAATGCTCGCCCATCGCCAGTTAACCTCAACACCCTCGCCTGCCCTCACTGCCACCCCAGAGACCGGACAGCCTAGAAGCACTGGTCAAGCATCAAGAAAAACTGCCACGCTGATGGAAGCTGGGTGAGAAAGGCACTTTATTGGTCGCACAGACTGACACATGAGGGGATGTGGGGTGCGTATCCAGTCTCCAGCACTCACACACACACACTCCTGGGTTTGGTTTCCTACATTAATTCTGTTATGTGGAAAAGCAACACATGGAAAGACATCACCGATCTATCCTAGTCACCAAGGAAGCATGGCCCAAAGCCACGAGAGCTCAAAGAAAGGGCTGCAGTCCAAGAGCTGGGCACTGAGACGCCCACCCTCCGGGCAGCCAGGTGCAGGGGCAGCAGTGAAGACTCTGCTATCAGCATGATGGGACAAGCATTGGGGGACTTGGCTCGCCCTGTGGCCTGGTGGAGGCGGCCCACAGCAGGGAGGGCATGGCGGCTGGGGGGGGGGGTCCTTCCTGGTGGAGGCCGGGGCTGAAGCTGGACCTCCCCACCGAAGAGTCAGAGTCGCTTTTCCTCCTTCAAAATAAGAGCTGAGAGGACTCAGACAGATTCCTGCTCTCGACACCGGTTTTGCCCGAACCCCTGGGGCTTTAGCTAAAGCAGTTTTTGTCACTGAAGCTACAAGGTGAGGTTCCTTGTACCTAAATTAACACTTACCCTTCAGCTACCTGCAGGCCAAGCCCTGTTGTCACTCAAGCAGGGCACTGGCCTTAATTTTTAATGCTTTGCCCAAACCCCTCAGGACACGTGGTTTTGAACTAGGGGGTCTGGGAACGTGGTTTTGGTTGGCTGAAGACTCAACTCATAATGTTTGTGAAGCACTTAGCAGGTACCTGGCACATGGTGAGTGCTCGATACATGCAGCCATTATTATTATTAATATTATTATTATTTATATTTCCACCCGGAAATCAGCATTTTAGTTCCTTTCTTCAAAACAGTGACCGGAACAAGGCTCTTGGGTCCTAAGTACCAAGATCAAGCTGGGGGCCCAGGTGCGCGGGGAGCTCGTTGCCCTTCGGCGTGCTTTTCCTTCCAACCTCCGCACGTCAGGCCGAGTCTCAAAGCCGGCACGCTCTGCTGATTGCACAGAAGCTGGGTAGGAGGGGCCGACAAAGTCCCGGGAGAGATTCCCAGTGGGTTGGTGCTGCTCCTCCGGGCTCCGGGCTCGCTGGCAGCTCACCAGGTCTTCACTGCGGGCCAAGGACAGAAGGTCAGTGCCACATTCTCGCCAGGCCAGGTCTAACTAAAGGTCCCCACGTCCCTGCGTGTGGTGTGCTGGGTAGGGGTCCCTTTATCGGAGTGCCAAAGAGAGCTGATACCGAGTATATATATATATATATATATCATGTTGTATGTACGCATGGCTTACAAATACACAACTTAACGTCAATTGTAGCAGAGTAACGATATACAAAAAAATTTAAGCCTCCTCACAAAGCTATGAGACAGGCTCCCCTAAGAACCCCCTTACGTAGATGAGTAAACTGAGGCTCAAGGCACAGAGTCAGGAGGTGGGAGAAGAGGGACTCACACGCAACACAGTTGGGCTCCACAGTCGGTTATTAGCAGTGTCAGTTCTGCGTGAAAAGAAATCCATTTTATAAAAAGGAGGGGGGACACTGCACCTGAGGTGTCTGCAATACTGGGGATTTTTCAATACCAACAGTAATGACGTGTGCATGATCTGGGCTCTTTGTACTGATGCAGTCTTACTCCCATGGGCCTGACCCGGGAGGGCTCAGAGTTTATCCACAGTCCCTCCTATAACCCTTTTGCTCTTGGAGCAGGGACCTTCATGAGAGCCCTGGGTTCAAATCCCGACCCCACCCCCTCCTCGTGGAACAGCCCAGAACCACTGTTAACTGGAATCCACTCCTCGGCTGACGGGCTGTTATCACGCATATCCACACACACAGGTCTGTGCAAGCACAGGAGCTCCCATGCACACAGGTCCTTGGCACAGTGGTTGTCATGCATGTGCGATGCATAAACATGAGCCTACGTGCATGCACTCCTCAGCACGGTGGTTGTGTCACTTGCACGTGTACACACGCATACACACACCCACCCCCACATGCACCCCAGCGCACCTGCGTGGCAGCCCTGCTGAGCGGCGAGTCCTCGGGCGGCCGGTGCTTGCCCTGGTAGGGGAGCTCGGTGTTCTCTCGGTAGTCGCGGCCCTTGGAGTACTGCAGGTGCAGGACTGCCGGGCTCTTGACCGGGAGGGGTGGCCGTGGGGCCGGGGTGGGCAGGGCCTGCTGGCTCTGCTCCGACCTGGAAGGCTTGACGGGCCTCTTGGCCGGCACTGGGACTTGGACGCCGGCGGGGGGCTTGGCCTTTCCCTGGCTCTTGTCCCCGGTGGCGGGCCAGCCCTCAGCAGAGGTCGAGCAAGTGAAGGAGCGGAGCCGGGGTGTGGGACTGAGGAAGGGTGTGGGTGTGGGCGTGGGCACCGGCTTGCCCGTCCCCTTGCTACCCTCGGCCTCCTGGGCTTTGGAGAGCAAGATGCTGGGCGACAAGGAACCTGTGTCCGGGCCTGGCGGGGGCTCCTTCCTCAGCATTTTGGGAGACTCCTGCTCTCTCCTGGGAGCCGGCTTAGGGAAAGAGCTCACAGACCCGTACAGCGGGTTCTCGAACATCTCGGGCTTGGCCAGCGTGGGCTCCTCCTGAGGCAAAGGTTCTGGGTCGCCAGGCCTGCAGCAAGAGAAAGAGGAGGCGGGAAACCCATGGGAATGACAGCTTGATGCCTGTGGGGTTTTCTTCGGCAGCTGGCGGAATGTCTGGCCGCGGAGGGAGGCGGCAGTTGCACAACGATGCGAAGCGCTGAGCTGCTCACTTTCAAATGATTAATCTATGTTACGTGAGTTTCCTCTCAATTAAAAACAAAATTAAACATGAAAGGAAGAGAAACTGTGTGACTCGTGTGTTGATGATCACGTAGGTAACCTCCGTTATCGCTTGGACCTTTTCCACTCTAAAAACTGTTCACAGGGCCCTGGCTGGTGTGGCTCAGTGGACCGACTGCCGGGCTGTGAAGCAAAGGGTCGCCAGTTCAACTCCCAGTCAAGGCGCATGCCTGGGTTGCAGGCCGGGTCTCCAGTAGGGGGCACACAAGAGGCAAGCACACGTTGATGTTTTTCTCCCTCCCTTGCCCTCTCTAAATATAAATAAATAAAATTTTTAAGACAAAACAAAAAAACCTGTTCACAGGGAAGCGTGGGCTCACGGCACCAATCTCAAAACCTGCCCCCTGGCCCTCGTCAGACAAGCCCCTCCTCACCAGCCCTGCCCCTCACTGCTGCTGCAGGCCTGTCTTCCTGGCTCCCGGCCCCTTCGAATCCCGCAGCCTCTCTGATGTCTCTAGCAAATGCTGCTCTGACCCCTGGGGAATGGAAGCCTTACAGGTGACCAGAGGTCCTCGGTCCCCATCTGTGCTACCTGAGGGTCCCAGTTCAAGGAGTCTCATTTAACAGACCCGTGAGATCCGCCATGTGCCTCAGACAAAGGAGTCAGCCATGAATGGGACAAAATCTGGGCTCGGGAGGCTGACAACCCTGGCGGACACAGTGCTCTCCCAGGCGGGATCCTGGTGACCACAGTTCCTCCCTGGCCTCCCCAAGTGGGGGAAAAAAATCTGTGGTCCCACGGGCAACTGCAGGGAAGCTGCAGCAGGGGAAGAAGCCTGCAGCGAGAAAGTGGGCCTGCTGCTGACGAATGGCCAGAGGGAGCGCCTCGTGGTGGGCCAAAGGAGGTGAACAATACCCCCGTTTTTCTGTCTCCTGATTTCTTATGGCTCTTACTAGACAAAGGTGTTTCTGCTGAGCCAATGAGAGCCAGGAACGGGAACCCATTTAACTTTCTGGCCAGTGGCATAATGTCCCAGGAGAGTCTTCTGGGTTCTGCTCTCTGCAAGAAAGAGGCTGCTGTGGAGAAAATGTGGGTCCCTGGGAACCCACTGACTGCAGGCCATGTGGCCTCTTACCAACAGAAGGTGTCCTGACACCGGCTCAAAGGTGCTGAGCAGCCAAGGCAAACGGGCTCTTTGGGGGGTAAGATGGGGGCTGCAGGGACAGGGAAAGATGGCATCCTTGCGCAGGTGCCAAGGAGACAGCATGACATGGGGCGTCGGGGAGGCGAGCCTCAGGGACATGCCAATGGGGGCTTGACTGTGGACTTAGTTTTTTGGCTCATTCCCCTTTGTAAATCGAAGTACCCACTGAGCTAAAGCCAGCCCAGCTCATTCCCCTTTGGAAAGACCCGGAAGCAGTCGTGTAATGAGGAATGTTGGAGCCTTGAAAGAAAACTTTGGAAAGCCACCCCTCTACCTCAGGACATCCTGTCACCGGTCTGGACCCTCAAAGACCTGTGCTGGGAGTTAGCCCAGGGAGGAAGGGGTAGGGACGCATAAACAGCACTGACCAGAAGCTTCTACTGAAGAGGTAAGAAGGAGAAAAGCACAATGTACGATCTGACCCCTGACAGCCACTCTCAGCGACTGAGCTGGGAGGAGCGGGTTCACCTGAGAGTTAGGGGCAGGCCTGGGAACCAGGCCCTGGGGGTCATCCTTCGGGTGGTCCCAAAGCTCAGCCCCTGCGACAAGAGCAGCAATGGCCCCACTCTGGGAGGGGCTGCTGTCACTCTGCCAGAGGGGAAAGCTTGGTTGGGTCTGGGGAGACTGGGAAAACCACAAAAAGATGGAAAAAGCCTTATTTCCATGGCCCAAGGTGAAAGGAAACCAACTCCCATTGCAGGCCTCGGCTGTGGAGTGAGTGAGCCAGCATCCAGGGCACAGAGTTCCCTCCCACGGCAGAAGGACTCCACCTCTGAGACGTCGGAGTCATTTGGGTCTGAAGCAGCCAAGCGCTCGGCAGGGCCTGACAAGAGCCGTCTATCCAACTAACCGCACGGCTTTGGTCCAGGGCCAGCAGCTGTTCAGGTGTGCCCAGGACTCCTGGGTTTCCCAGGATGTGGGATTCTCAGTTCAAAGAAGGGGACAGTTTGGGGCAAACTGGGGTGGCTGGTCATCCTACTAGGGTGTAGGGAAACAGTGGGGTGACACGGAGGAAGCCAGTGACACCCCCTTTTCCGCAGCCTTTGCTCAGGCTGAGCCAAGGCCTGAGCAGTTAAGAGGGCTGCTGACCTCTGACCTCCAACCCCTCCTAGGTGAGTGGTGAGCTTAAAATGCCACCTGGGGGGGCCCTGCCCACAGATGTCCCCGTTCTAAGCTGTCTCCTGTGAAGCTGGAGGGAGTACACTCCCCACTCCGTTCCAAACTGTGCGCTGTGTTCAACTGGTTAAGCACAAAGATACACTAACTTCAGGAACTGAGAAATGCTCTACTTAAGTCATCTCCTTGTTCTATGTGGTGGTCCACAGATCGGTTTCCTGGGCTGGTGGAGAGAGGACTTTGCTAAAAAGGCACCTCGGCACCCAGCAAGGCAGCCTCCAACCTCAGTTTCATTTTTTCTTCCTTCTAAACATCATCAACACATTCGGAAAACTGAGGTACAGAGAGGGCTATGGTGGGCTCGGGGCAGGTCCATTCGCTGATCCTCTCTGGCCCTCCTGCTGGCCACCCTCCTCCCTTTCCATTCATCTACCCATTTTTAATTTTTTTTTTTTTAGAGAAAAAGCTTAAGGAATAAAACTATACACTGCCTCTCGACAAGGACAGAAGCGGAAAGAGGGAGATGCTGTCAGACAGCACTCCTGTCCCTGGGTTCTAGTGACAGAAAGCACGACAGAGACACAGAACAGCCCGGAAAGGGGGGAGGGTGGCCCCCCCGAAGCCATCACGAACAGCGAAGAGAGCCACCGTGGAAAGACGATGCCAGTGCTATATTGCACATCTTCACAGGGCTCTGCACTTTTCGTGTCCATCTGTCACGCACGGCTACTAGCAACTCGCCGGGTTCCACACAATGCTGATGAGTGAGTCTGCTTGGTTCCCGTGGCTTCGTGAAGGGCGGCTGTGGCGGTGGCTGCCTGGCCTGGGCTCCTCCCTGGCTCTCTCCCCCTGACCCCTGTAGTTCTAGACACAGGTCAGCGTTCTCTGACCTCCAGGCCTTTCCTGAAATTTCCGGGCCCAAGCCCCTCCCTCCGCAAGCCAGCTGCTCCCTCCTGGCCTCAGCCGCTTCTTTCCCCGACTGTTCTTACCAGCAGAGACAGGAAAGCTACATGGGGGAGCAGGCAGCGTGTGGCCGGGAGCAGAGAGGGACTTCTACGTGGAAAGTCCCCCACCCCTGTTCCTCGGGGGCCTCCAGGGAGTGGCAAGCGGCCCAAGGGTTCACTGGTTCTAGAAATGTATTTTCCAATACATGTAATTTTAGTACAAGGGCGCTGGACGATGCTGTGTATAATGCGCAGTCTTCTGCCCAAATTTTTTAGGGAAAAATAAGCTGCACATCCTGCATGGGTATAATGATCACACATCCTGGGTATAATAACCCCGTGTATAATGTACACAAAAACGTGGGTGTGCATTATGCACGGCAAAATACAGTCTTTTTCTTGACGGTATCTTTAAAATGTTCTATTTAAAAAATCTTTCAAGTCACACCCACAGGCTAGGACGACATGTCCTTCTCCGGTGCCCATCTCGTTCCAGGCCCCGAGGATGAGTCAGGGACCGAGGCGGACATCCGCCCCTGCCCTCCTGCAGCTGCTATCGGGGCTGGGTCCCCAGCAGCGAGGCCCCGGGGACCGGGGAGGCCTCAGCGGAGGGTGCGCTCACCTGGACTCCTGCATCCTGGGGCCGGGGCCCCGGGTGGCTGTGGAGGACGAAAACTTCTTGGGTGATATGGGCGGTTGGGAGGGGGGTGTCGGAGGGCTCTCCCCCCTCCCAGGTCCCAGGGCGGAGTCCTTGAGCGGCTGGTCGTAGCTCCAGGCTGTGGGCTGCTGGTCGGGGGACAGGGCCTGTTTCATGTGCCCCAAGGACCCCATGCCGATATAATTGGGGTTGATGATTTCAGTGATGCTGGAGCCCGTGCAGAGAGGGACCCTGTGGGTGACACACACAAAGCCCCGTATCAGGTCTCCCCTCCCTCCTGTGGGTCAGGTGTCTGACCTCTTGCAGACAGTGTCTCCGATGTTCCTCAGCACCCCTCAGGATGTCCTCCACTCCCTCGCTATGGGGGGGGGTGGACTCATCCACCCACCCACCCGTTCATTCATTCGCAAGGCACAGCAGTTTCTGCACGCCCAGGAGTGCCGGGCCCTGGGCCAGGCAGCAGGAGCACGGCTGGGAAGGAGGCAGTACAGTCCCTGCCCCGCTGGAGCTCAGGTCTGGTGGAGGAGGAGACAAACCAAACCCACTCAGGGACCGGGGCACCTGGCGTTTCCACGGTGCTGAAGTCTGACTGAGTCACCAAAGAGGCAGAGCGGGGCTGGCAGGAAGGATGAGGAAGAGACAAGTTATTGCCATGGCCCTGAGGGATGAGGGGCTTAACTGCTCCGGGGGCGGTCCGAGGGCCCACAAGCCAGCGGGGAGAAGGGAGTGAGGGCTGTCGAGGAGGGCGGGGCCAAGTGGCCGTGCAGGAGGGCAGGCTGGGGTGGAGGCACGTGGGGCGTCTCTCCCAAGACGTTTCAACGTGCACATCGGCGTGTGAGCGTGAGAATGGAAGTGGCCACGTGGGCATTTGAAGATGAGGGCACAAAGGTCAAGGCTAGAGCCTCACATATGGGGCAGTCTGAGCAGATGGCCCAGGCTCGGGCAAGGTGGCCTGAGACACTAGCACCGTGCTGCCTCTTGGGGACAGAACTGTTGTCCCTCTTCGTAAGACAGCGCCATCATGAGAACAAACTACCAGATTCTGAGGATCCAGGTTAAAATGGACCCTCCCAGCGCCCATGCTCTCAGCCAGCCTGGTTTCGTGCCTGCTATTCACACGCTTACCAGTAGAAAGAACGATGGCTTGCAGGCCTGCACTGACCCCGACTCTGGAGCCGAGCTCACGTGCGAGAGCCACAATGTTTTCATCAATGGGATAATAGTGGAGAAAAGGATCGGAAGGAGATACTTAGCATCCATGGCTACAGCCACCAGAAGTTGGAAGCAGACAAAGGAATGGTCTGGAGATGTGAGTTCCCGTGTTCCTGGTGGGGGGGGGGTTGGCGTGTGTGGGAGCTGGATGGATGGACAGGTGGTGTCAGGACCAAAGGGGCCAGCACACTGGGCTCTGCAGTGGCTTTTGGACGTCCCATCAGCAGGTAAACAGACACAGAGACTGTGGTAGCCTTCACCGGCTTCGTTCTGGGACTTGAGGCCCCATCAGAGCTGAGGAGACACTTACAATGGCCCGTTATTGCCAGTCCTGGTTCCGGCAAGAGCAGCCTGCGTGTGCCCCCTCACCCTGCTTCCGGTGATTTCTCCCCTTAGTAACAGGACAGCGTTGGCTGTCTACAGGGCCAAAACTGCCCATGTTGCCCATCCACAGGAGACTTGGCATCAGCCGTCTCCACACGTGTTTTCTCCTGGATGGGGCCTCGGTCTGGGCGATGAGTGCCTAAGTCAGGGACAGCACTTTTCTGCCTTGGTTTCTCCAGAACCCGTCACACAGTAGGTGTCAACCCAAGTCACACTAATCCCCACAAGGCTGCAGGTTAGTGGACCGACACCTTGGAGCCGGAAGCAGGACAGCGCCTCTTCCCCTCCGGGTCGTTGGTTTCTCTGCTCCACCTACCCTCCCCTGGGTCCTGAGTTTGCAAGGCCAGCTCGTCTGCAGTGAAACCCTGGCGACCCCCCTGCTCTACCTGTTGGCAGGTTCCCACTGCTTCATGGGGTCGTGGCTGGTGAAGCTCTTCAGACACCTGGGCCCGCTGGCCTCATCCCGCTCGGTCTTCACGAAGTCTGCAGGGAGAGGGCCAGGAAAGACAGCGAGTGAGGGCCCAGCGTGCGGAGTCCGGACCAGGAGAGCAGAGGTTTCTACGGACCTGCCGGAGTGCGTGGTGGATGCTGGCTGCCTGGGAAGGTGGGCTCAGCTAGATTTGGACGCCTCACCAGAGTTCAGTGATTGATTAGTTCTGTCTGCCATGGCTCCAGAGGGAGGAGAATTGGTACATGGGACCCAGACAGGTCATTTCATGTGACACTTCCAAATTTTGTCCCTTGTTGGCAAGGGACAAAGCAGGCAAATTATTCTTGGCAGATCCTAATAAAACAAATATACAGCCCTGACTGGTGTGGCTCAGTGGACTGAGTGCTGGCCTGCGAACCAGAGTCACCAGTTCGAGTCCCCGTCAGGGCACATGCCTATGTAGCGAGCCAGGTTCTCGGGAGGGGGCACTCGAGAGGCACCCATTGCTGTTCTCTCTTTCTCTCCCTTCCCCCTCTCTAATTAAAAAATACATACATAACAAGGTGACTACCCCGGAACTTCTGGTACCAAAGCCCCCCCCTTCATGGGCTTAAAGGACAGATGGGACGTGTCTTCATTCCCAAGTCTAGTGTATGGTTGTAGAGGTCCCCTCACTCCAACCCAAGGTACTGCTAGAGAAAGGAGCTCCCCCGTCCATGCGAGGCAGCACCCCGATGGCCCAGCGCCCCGCAAGGAGCACTGGGTGCCAGACAGTCCCCAGGCGGGGAGCCCTGTTGCCTTGCTGTCACATGAGACAGGACCCCATCACGTTTACAAATTCTGCCCAGCACCGGGTGCACCTGTGCCTTCACTGGGTCTGGCTGCTTCCTCAGCGTATGACCTTCAGCCAAGCACTTTGTGCCTCCGTTTCCCTGCCTACCACACAAGGGTGATGCCTGGCTCTCAGGCAGCACAGTCAACGGCTTTGCCGAGAGGAGCCTCACTCCTGTCCCTAACCCTGCAGCATTGCAGGGGGTGTGGGGATGGTGGGGGCGGTGGCGCCTGCTTACCGTACAGCTTCTCCCTCATCTTGCCCTGGGAGGTCTGCAGCTTGATCTCCCCCCGGAAGTGACCGGTCATCTCTCCGTGGTGGGTGAGAGGCGTGTAGATGGGGAGCTCAGTTTCCGTGGCCTCTAACCGTAGAGCAATGCAGCCCTCACCTGGGGGCATGGCAGGGACAAGAGTCAGGTCGAGACCCCACCGTTTCACAGGAGAAACATGGAGAACCTGCCCCGGAGAGTTAGCTCTGCAAACAAAGATGGGCCTTTGAAGCAATGGCCAAGGCGGGGACCATCGAATAAACCCGCAGACCGACGAAGGCCCCAGCAACCTGGGGAGAAGTCTCAGAAGTTACAGCAGGCCAACTCCATGTAGACTGGTTGGTGTGAAAAATACAGGAAATCAGAGAGAATCCAGAGGAAAAACAGAATTAAATCCTAATCTGGCGGCTGGAAGGAATGACAACTTTCCAAGGTTTGAAGCTGTCGGAAATGACAAAATAAGACTGACAGGTAAGAGGATATAAAAGTTTAAAAGTTTTATACGGGGGTGGGGGGTGGGGGGGAAGAGAATGAGATGATTGACTGGAACCATTCACTGAAGTCAGCTTCACAAAGCGGGACTTTATCTGAACTCACGAGGAACTCCTCAAAATTGAATCCCCAGCTGTTAAATAGGCAGGTCACCCAAACAGTCATTTCACACAAAAGAACTGTAGCTGGTTAATTTCAATAAATGGAAACCCATCCAGCCTCGGGAGCCGTCAGCCACGCACATGAAGGCAGCACCAAGGGGCTCTCACGGATGTGAACTCTGCCCCAAATAGAAGGAAGGAGATGCCCAGTGCCAGCCAGGATCGGGCAAACCCATGCCCCGGGATGTGGCAGGGTCAGCATGGGCCATCAGCTTGATAACAAGGGCCAACGATCATGAACGTGTTCTTATGCTCTGACCAGCAAACAGGGGAACTCATCCTAAAGAGATGACCCCAAATAATTTTAAAAAAAATGTAGCTTCAGGAGAACAAAAATGCCCCCAAATAGATCCATCTCAGCTTCATTGATCATACTAACAAATATCACTGGCAGTAATAGTAATAAAGGCGACTTTAAAGAATGAGAAGACAGCACACCCAGGGAATATTATGAAGCCAGGAAAAAGGCTTCACGAGGCAACAATCACGAGGACCGTGGGGGAGAATCACGGAAAGTGGGTCTTACTGAATACAAGGCAAGGAAAGTAGAATATAAATGGCATCTCCGGACGACTAGAAAGGTAGAAATCTGTGTACACATGCGTAAAGATGCAAGCATGAAGCCACAACAGAAAGGACTGGTGCAGCGGGGTGGGGTGGGGGGAGACTGCCGGGGGGTCTTTCTCTGTTACTATTACAGCGTGCTCTTTGCAAGCACGCATTCCGAGAAGAGGCAACAAAGGAGGCAAACTGTACTGATCAAGGAAATAGGACCCACAAGACCCGAGTTCCTGGTTCCTGCCACCGAACCTGTGGATTCTGCATCCACACGGAGCCTTTCTCTTTTCCCCGTCGTGACAGACAGGAGATTCAGCTCCAGAGCCCCGATACCCCAGGCTCTGTCTGCCCCTGCCCCGGCTCAGGGACCCTCTTTCCAGTGCTGTACTGGGAGGGGGTTAAAGGCATGATTCTGGAGCTGGGCTGCCTGGGTTCGAGTCTAAGACCACACTGTAGCTTGTCAAAGTCACTCTGACAGTAGTTTGTCAAAGTAGCTCCATGACCTTGAACAAGTCACTTCATGTCCTCACCTCTGCAACAAGGGCAGTGACTGTCCTTCCATCCCAGGGCTTTGGCCGAGTCTGTACAGCGGGTGACCAGCACCCAGGGGTACCTTTTGTGACCACGCCTGTCTCCAGCCTTCCACCGTCAGCACTGAGCACCTTCAAATTCCTTCCGCTGAAAGCAAATGCCCTCCCCAGACCGGGTTCGCATTCTCGCCTGCCTCAGACCCCCCTCTTCCTCTCCCCCATTCACTCCCTAACCACCTGCAAATGCCATCTCACCACAGCCACGATGGTCCCCGAGTCACTCCGAGGGCCACGATGAGTTATTTTGTTGGGTCTCTCGGGCACATCTGCCATCATGACCCTGCCGCCTTCTCAGACCAGCTCTGACCTCGTCCCCAACGCCACAGCCTCTGGCTGTGCTTGTCAGCCCCCTGGGCCGGTCCCTCACCACAGCGGACCGGGGTCAGGAAACGGAAAGCCCAGCTCCTCGAACCAGGAGTGCAGGGCCGTCCTCACCCCGCTGTCCCCAGTTCCCAAAGCCAGACCGTGTCCCTGCGCACCACCTCTCAGACTCACCCAGCCTCTCCATCTTTACCGCCATTACTTTCACTAGGACCTGCCTCTCACCTGGATCCTTGCCAACACGTCTGTAAGAGGGAGGGCTGATCACACGTTTGTGTGCTCCGAGGACCAGGTGTTTATCCCTAGGTTTATACGAGGCTCCTTGATCAGGCTCTTGCCTCCAGCCTCCCTCTGGCCACCTACCCTCTCACTCCATGCTGTAGACACACTGAGTGTGCCAAGTGCCTGACCCTGGGCTGGAGCCGTGGACAGGCCGACGATGTTAACAGAGGATGATGTCTCCCTAGTAGCATAGCACAGTTGGTGGGTCCACTGGCCGGGCCGCTGTGCAATGCTGGGCAGACCTGGGTTCAGATAAGGGCTCAGCCAGCTCCTACCTCTGTGACTTGGGCAAGTCCCTCACCCTCGCCGAGCCTCGGTTTTCTTATCTATGAACTGGGAGAATAGTGTCTGCTTCATACAGTCTTGTCAGAATAAAATTTTAAAATGCCTGCGAAGCATCCGGCACTGAATCGGACACAGCAGTCTCGGGATGTGGGGGGAGTGGCTGCTGCAGCAGAAGGGGCGACTGACCAGTGACTGTTCCCTGGCAGCCCTGGCCTAGGGCAAGGAGTGGCAGGTGGGCTTCCTGTGACGGAGATGCCGCCGCCTCCCTGACATCAGAGGCCACCAGTGAACAGCAGATAAGGCATCTGAGGGACCACGGGACCCTTACCGTAGGACTCGTCACTGTCGGATGACTTAATGCTAATCAGGATGTGCTGGTCCAGCAGGTACTCGGGGTCGGAAATAATGGGCTTCAGCTGCAAAGAGAAGGGCATGAGCTTAGAGGAGACAGGTCAGGGACAGGCAGGTGAGGGTCGCCGGCCCAGAGGAGGGGAATGCTGGAGAAAGCAGGCCTGTAGGTGTTGTGATGAAGCACATTTGAATCTGCTGTTCGTGCCCAGAGAGCAGGAAGGAAGCCATAGGTGCTCCATACCCAGCGAGGTGATGGTGGGCTTAACTTCCTTTCCCGTCCCCCCCATCACACTGCCCCCCAGGCCCCAAACATGCCACACCTTCACTGTCTCCCTTGCCCTCCTTTGCCATCCCCAGGGGCCAGGCAGGCAAGCCAAAAGGGACAGGACCAGAAACCAGTTCCGAGTGCACCCACCCCACCTCAGGCCCCCGAGCAGGGGGCTGCTCTAGCCCTGGCTTCTCCCAGGATGGAGGCTGCGGTGACGGTGGCACCCCGAGGTCTATGTGTCTGCCCGTGCGGATGCCCGGTGGGTCTGGAGTATCCTGTGGGTAGGTGGCTCAGTGGCTGAGAGGCACAGAGAGACCCAGATAGAGACCCTTGGTGTGGGTCTGGTGTCATGTCGAGTGACAGAAAGTTCCAGAACAAATGACTGGACATTGCAGTGGGAGCTCTGAGGCATCTTGGGGTTCCAGAGATGCACCAACCATTCTGTTCACTGACTTCTGTTCATGGCCTGGTGGCTGCCTCAGTTAGACCCGGGGCTGGGTGCTGCAGAAGCAGGAGGCCCCGCCCTCCCAGGGAAGCAGCGGGAGCAGGGGGCTGCCATTAGACGGGGAATGTCTGGGTGTGCACCTCACCATGGCGCAGGTGGCAGGAGAGTGTTGGGCGTCTCGAAGGGGTTGAGAGGGTGAAGTGAGAGGAGGGGCTCGGGGAGCAGGAGGCCGTGAGGTTCCTGAGGGGCTGCAAGAGCAGATGAGGCTGAAGATGAAGGGGGCTGGGAGCCAAGGAGTTTGGGCTCATCCCATGAGCCACCAGGGAGCTCTCGGATAAAGAAGGGTGTGCCAGGATGAGACGGGCACCACAGCAAATTCCATTAGGCTTCCAGATGCCTGGGCAAGAAGACGGAAGGATGGAGACAGGTGGGAGGTGGCGGTGGGGGAGAGGAGGGAACAGGGACGGAGCACTGGGTCTTGGCGGTGGTCAGAATGTGGGGACAGGAGTACCTAGGGGTCCCTGAAGTGGATAGGGTGTGGCAGGGACGGGGACACGGGCCTCCTTCCTGACTTGAACACAGGAGGAAACAAGCATTTGGGTGCTGCGTGGGGGCAGCTGGGAGAAGCAGGAGGGTGGGTGGGAGCCCAAATCCACCTGGATGCAGGTGAACCTGAAAACAGCCCAGGATGCCTGACAGCTACACCCCCAGTCAGAGTGCACCTGGACTAGCATACTGGGGTTTGGGCGTGGCCTCTGCTTCTGAGACGACAGGGCCTTCGTGAGCGTGGCCCGAGAGCTGGTTCCAGTCACCAGTGAGTGCCAGCGCGGGCAGCCCAGCCCCTCAAAACCTGCCTATACACCCCCGCAGCCTTGGGAGAGGACAGGTCCCTCCAGCCATGAAACCATCCTCCAAAACTCATCTCGGGTGTCACCTCTGAGGGGACCCTCTGGGAGAGGCCGAGACCCCGCCCCATGTGACAGATCATCCCAGCCTTGCACACTGCCCCTGTGCCACCTCCTTATTGTGTGACGCCCAGCATGCACACCCAGATGTGTTCACCATCAACTGAACATCCCCAAACCGTCCTGGGTTCCAGGGAGAAAACTGGGCTTTTCTGCAGTAAAGACCAATGTGTTCCCACTAAGGTTTGCCTACGTGTTTTAAATTGTAGCCCTCTGCTCGCACGGGCCACAGTCACCTCAAGTTCTGCGTTCACGTCCACATAGGAGCCAATGGCCTCCTCTCCACATCTGCACTTGACCCTCCGAGCCAAGTCAGGGCTGACCAGGCAAAGGAGCACTCACTCACTGTGGGGGCCTCGGGGCATGGGTCCTTGGTCTGTCACTGAAGTCGGGTGACCATGAACAAACCTCTCTAAGATCTGCCTCAGTTTCCTTCTTTGTCAAGTCATGTGGTCAGCCAAGGCAACCTCTGCATCCCTCCCACAACCCCTTATAGGAATTGAAATCCATTTAGAAACATTGGGGCCACTAGCCACAGGACCGAGTTTAACCACTACTGAGAACAGAGAGCCGGGGGCTGAGGGCGGGCAGGTCTGCAGTGGCCTTGTCCAAGTTCGGCACCAGATGGAGCGCCGTCACTGTCCAGTGCTGCGTGGCTGGGAGACCGGCCCTGGGGGTGTCCTGTTCTTGAGTTACCTTTGGAAGGGTCTCGCCAAACTTCACCACCAGCTCCCCTTCACTCCCTTCTTCATTTTCCCCTTCCTGACTCTTGACGAAACCTGTCGGAGGACAAGGAGGCCGGTTTTCAGAGAACAGGCTCCCAGGGCCGCCCCACCTGGGCCAGTGGAAGTGCCACCTGCCTCCTGGGGGTGCAGGGCCCACGGCATCGTTTGGGGGTCGGGCTTGCTGGGGATTCTGTCTCGGCACAGGGGATGGTCATTTGCCAACGGGGTCTACTTATTTTTAGGAAAATCAGATTTTTCTCCTTAAGGGCTCCTTTGTGTGACAAACCAGGCAACAAAGAAATCGCAGCTTCGCAGGCAAGGAGACTAGGAACCGACAGCTCTCCCACGCCGCTCAAGATGGCAGCCTTTGAAAGGCTAATTTAAGCCTCCTAATATGCTGTTTCCATAGAGATGTATGCAAATGTCTCAATAATTTATTAAAAACACCCACACAAAAGTCCTCATCCTTTTTGGAAGTACTTTGCCCCTGCTTGGTGAACTGGGACCTGGAGACCTCACAGGACGTGGAGAAGGTGGGTCTCTTGGGCCCAGGGGCGTCCGAGAAGGGAGGGGGTGGGGCAGCACTGCAGCCAGGGGTGCGGGTCTTCTTCCTGATTTCTGGAACTCTCCACCACCCCCTCACCTCCTGTCCCCCACCCCACCACTACCACCAACACTGCCCGGACCATCTCAGAGAGAAGACCTGGGAACCCCACAGGTCTGCCCACATGGAACGGCCTCAGACAACATGCCCGGAAGTGTCACCGAGAGGGGAGTTTTGTGCTAACTGCTGCTGGCTGAGGGGAGGCTCCAGACGCCCTGGGAAAGCTGTCCGTGGCGCAGGAAAGAGCAGAGGACTCCGGGGAAGAGCAGGCGGCTCGGGGCCTGGTGCTGACCCCAGGGGCTCTGTACCTTCGCCCAGGACCCTCTGGTTCCATCAGAGCTGGGCCTGGAGGGACCCTCGAGTGGTCTATACTCTGCTCTGAGGGGCAAGGAAAGGATCCAGCTGCCTAGTCACCTGCAAGGGGTTGAGGGGTTGTGACCTCAGTGACTGCCCTGTCTCTGGAATGGAGCATCGCAGACTCCCCCACACCACTGGTGTCCCCTTGTACCCTCTGCCTGCACGCCCACTTCTCTGACCCCCTGAAATGCATCCATGAGTCCTTCCCTGAGAGGAGCAATGGGGCAAAGGACCACCCATGGAAAGGCAACTTGAGCAGAAGGAAGTCCCACAAGCCCTTACTCTCCAAGCAGCTCGAGTGGAACTCCAGGTAGAATTTGGTCTGGGACTTGGTCTTCAGGGTGGCGAAGCATCTGAGAAACTCGATCTGCCCTTGGCTGTCGACAGTCCCGGGGCCTGGAACAGGTGACAATGGAGATTGGGCCCACGGTGTGCCTGAGACAGGGAGCTTCAAATTGGCCCCCCAGCACGGCGCTGCCCCCCAGGGCCAGGGACGGTGAGAGTCCGGGGGGGAGAGGTTTTCCTGAAGCCCCACCACCCACATGGAGCATCCCCAAGGTGGCAACAGTCACTGTGACGAGTCACAAACTGGTGGAGACAGAGTGGGATGAGCCAAATGTTCCCAGATCAGAGCTATGTGGTCCCAGGCCATGTCCTTAAGCTCGCTGCCTCAGTCTCCCTGTTAGTTCCAGCAGAGAGAGCTGGTGCGGCAGAGCCACTGGTCTCGGCGGATCAGGCCAGTCGGAACCCCTGCCCTTCCTTCCTCAGGCACAGCCACCGCCCCTCCTGACTCCGAGCCCCTGCCACTCACTGGTGCTCAGGTAACTTGTACTCAGGGCTATTTGGAGACGACACTTCTGCAAGTGTCCCTAGGCTGCCTGTGAGCAGGTGTTCAGTCCGCTCATGTAAACCCCGAGCCACCGGGGAACAAGGACAGACACCCCCTCTATCTCTCCTGTCCTTTTCTCGTCCCCAGCTTTGCTGAGGAACCTCTGACAAATACAATGGTATGTACGTAAGGCGTGTACGTATACAATACAGTGAAGCTTTGACACACGTGCCCATTGTGAAATGATTACAAAGATCAGGACAATTCACACACCCATCACCTTCCATCATCACCTGTTTTTGTGGGGACTTGGGGTGGGGTGAGAACGCTCGAGGCCTACTCTCAGCACATTCCCTGCGCGCGGTAAGATGACACTGTGTGATTACCTACAGCAGCCACCGGGCTGAGGCGCAGACCCCCAGAGCCTCCTCATCTCAGAGCTGGAAGCCTGCACCCCGGACCTACATCTCCCCACTTCCCTCACCGCCTCCCACACCCGTCCCTGGGAATCACCACCCTAGTCTGTTTCTACTGTCTGTGAAATCGGCTATTGTTTTTTTAAGTTCCCACACTGAGTGATTCCACACAGTACTTATTTTTCTGCCTGGCTTGTTTCACTTTGCTTTTCCCTCCTTTTTAAAGCACCACGGCACCCAGGCCAGGCTCTGCTTCGGTAGACGTTCCAGGTCGTGGGTGTTTGTGGGCCTCTGCTCCGTGCTGAGTCCCCCCCAGGGGAGGCAGGCCAGACCCTGAGGATGCAATGAGGGTCCTCATCAAGGGTGTGACAGCAGGGTCCTCCCCATCGGTGCGGCAGGAACTCAGAGAAAGGGGAGATGGATGGGAGCTGGGGAAGAGGCGGAAGGTTCTGGAAAGCCAGAGTGGCCAGAGCTATGGAGGAGAGAGGATGGTGGGTCATGGCCGCTTAAGGAGGGTAGGTCCCATTGCTGGGGACCAACGGCACAGAGGGATGTCCCCAGATGGCTGTTCCAGCCTTGCCCACATTCCTCACAGCACGAAGGACACTGTGGCACAGGCTGTCCCAGCCTGTCCCAGCCTGTGCAGGGCTGGCTCGGCCTTCTGAACGAGTCTGGGCTGTCTGCTGACCACAGAAGCGGGGGTTTGGCAGAGAAAGTGACAACGGTGCCCCCCAGTCACCCAGACCCAGGACTGGACACGCTGGAGAGAACGCCAGGTCCCTGTTGGGATGAGGGTGGCCCAGTGACCAGGGCTGAGCTGGGTCATTCGAAAATCACCTGTAAATCTGAGTATCGCTCACTCGAGCGTTTCCCAAACTCAGTCACCGAATCCCGTCTTCACATGTGCACCTTCTCTACTGCACGCCTGCACCAACAGTGACTTACGTTTTCTTCAGACTCACTTTTTAAACTTTAACAACTGCATTTAAATAAGAAGGCCTACCACAAGACTAAGTGGGAAACCAGTATTGCTTGCCTTGCACAGAAGAGACAAACTCAAAACATACTAAGATAAATGCAGTACCAATAACTGGTCACCCGGGCCCCACCCGGAAGTGTCTTTGGTGGCAAATGTGCCCCACTGTAGAATACGCTCACTTACCCCATTTTAAAGGCTATATTATAAGTGAGGCTTAAAAAGTGACGTATTTGCTGCAGAGGACAGGAAAGTGCTTGGCCCGAAACCCTGAAGTGGCTGGGCCACGGGTGTCGGAAGGAGGGGTGTGCGTGCAGAGAGCTGGCTGCTGCCACCACAGTGCGGTGCCCAACGGCCCTGTCTTTGTGGACAATGGAGGGATGGACACTGCCCACCACTTACCATTTTTGGAGACAAACTGGGAGGTGACGCCTGCCTCAAATGTGGCAAAAACAGGGCTGTGGTCACTTGTCATGATGTCGCTGGTGCTGCCTGTGGGGAAGGGAAGCTGTTTCTGAGCAGGGAAGGAGGAAGCCTTCTGGTCAACCCCGGGATGACAAACCCGCAGCAGAAATCATTCACACTTATGGAAGCCTCCAGAAGTTTTGCACTTGTGTTTCCGCTGACCTCCCACAACCACACCCAAAGGCCCCAGTAACAGTGTGTGACACTGTCCCCTCTGTGGCCCAGATGTGCCTACGCTCATTTTCCCTAAAGACTCACAACTTCTAACACAGATCTCAGAGTGCAAGCTGCGGAGAGTCTCAGGGTCTGAGCCCCCTGTTGCACTGGAGAGCAGGGTGGGCATTTAAGGTCACCGAGCTCATCAGTAAGAAAGATGGCACTTTCCCCTGGCTCATGGTGACTTGCAGGACCAGAGAGGAGGGGAGGTGACAGAGTGTAGACAATGAGGGCGCCCAACTCTTTCAAGGAGCTTGGGGCTTGGAGGGAAGGGAAGGCAGCAGGGCGTGTTTGGAGCAGGTAAGAAGATAGAACACAGTTCTAGAGTTCTAAGTGCTTTTGATGGAGCCACGTGGAGGTGCCTGGCTGCGGACTCAGGGCAGCGGACTTATCTTTCAAATGGGAGTCATGTGGTTCGGTGGAAGCAGAACCAGAAGAGGATGTTTGGGCTCCATCGGAAAGACCAGAAGGAGCTGAGAGGAGACAAAGGGGAAACTCCAGGACATGCCAACCATTGATGGGCAAAGGAGATACAGTGCTGGAGACCCAGAAGGCAGTGAAACAGATTCCTGTTTTTTTCTACAAAGCAAATCAGCAAGAAAAAGAGAAACATTTTATCCCTCAACCATGCAAAGGATATGGGCAGAAAAATCACAAAATGATACAGATGGCTAATAAGCATGGAAAAAAATGCTTGCTCAGTAACGACCAACAGAAAGACAAATTGAAGCAACAATCGGATCGACTGGCGACAATGAGATAGGCCAGAAAAAGAGAAGCAAGTGGGGTCACTGGTACAGGGGAGAAGGAGGGCATAAAGTCAGGGGCCCAGGGGGAAAAGTCATCCCAGAAAGGGGGCAGAGGAGCCCACACCTCTCTGAGACAGGAGGGAAGGGGGCAGAAGGCGCTCCAGCCTAGAACACGTTTGGACACAGACAGGAGGAGGTCAGGGAGGGTCAGGTGCTGCGTGAAGCGGCAGAGGGTGGCAGGAGGGGAGTCGGCTGTGTGCAGGGCTGCAGGTGTGTGGCAGCCAAGAAGAGGGGGTGTCCTGGCAAGAAGTTACGGGGTGGACAAGCAGCAGTTTAAAATATGTTCTTTAAAATTTTTTAGATAGGGCCCTGGCTGGTGAGGCTCAGTGGACTGAGCACCAGCCTATGAACCAAAGGGTCACTGGTTTGATTCCCAGTCAGGGCACATGCCTGGGTTGCAGGCCAGGTTCCCAGTAGAGGACACATGAGAGGCAACCACACACTGTTGTTTCTTTTCCACTCTTTCTCTCGACCTCTCAAAATAATAAACAAACAAATAAATAAACTATTTTAAAAATAAATAAAATACTTTCGGTAGGTATTGAACATAACGGCACTAACGGTGCCCTGGAGCGTAGGTAGACCCCCGCAGCCACACCCTGTGTGTTTCCCCGCACAGTGAGCCTGTGCTTGGCCACGGGACTGACTTACTTCGGTCATAAGGACGTTAGCAAGTGTGAGATGAGCAGAGACTTAGAAGAGAGCACTTCCACGTCGGGGACGTGCAAGAGGGAACCCTAAGACCGGGAAGCAGCAGCCTGGACTAGCCTGCTGGAGGCAAAGTGTCTCATGACTGAGTGGCCACCACTGCCCCTGCCGACGGCCAGCCAGTCCCAGATCCGAGTGCGCTCTGGGCCTGGGTGCAGCTGGACAGCACCAAGCAGAGCAGAGCTGAGGCCCCCGAGTTCTGCCCTGAGCATGGTAAGCCACTGCCAGGTTTTGGGGTAGTTTGTTACATAGCAGTAACTAACAGATACATTCTGTTATATCATCTTCATAAGACTCCCATTTTCTCAGTAGACTCCCATTTTCTCAGTAGACTCCCATTTTCTCAGCTCTGGACATTCTTTCCTTTGCCCCCACAATTTCCCACTCACCTATAATTCCTTAAACCCTTCTGCTGTGCCCTCCAGCCTTCAGTGAAATAACATTAGCACAATTCCCTACACCGTCAACTTCTCCTTCCTGTTCCTGCATGCCTCCAACGACTCCAGGGTAGTCGCTCTGGTCCCTCCAGACAGCAGGAAGCAGGCATAACAGGAAGCAATGAAAATCAGTTCCACTTTACGGGACCTGAGTTCTCATGAGGATTTACTGATTCCCTGAGAGAGGGTGGGAGCCAAGAGGGTGGGCCTTGGACAGCAGTACATGGGGAAGGGTAGGAGGCCTCAGCTGTGAGATAGGCCTGGGGTCACAGCAGCATGTTAGGGGTCCTTGGCCTGTGACATGGTCTCATGAGGTACACACCGGGCCAACCACGGCCCTCCTTGGATGTTGCTGTCTGGGAAAAAGTGTCCCAAGGAACTCTACTCTGTGAATTTTTAAGGATGCAGAGCACAGTAGGTCTAATGATAGGAAATAACAAGTCACTTCTCAGAATAAGCACTCAAGCAATTAAGAATTCCTTCAGATCATAAACTTCCAGGGTCAATAATTATTGAATCATTCTGATCATTTTCCCATGCTTGTTTAATTTAAAATTGCACATCATGCCCTTTTCTTCCATTTAACTCAACTTATCTTTAAATCTCCCCAGATACATGTGTGTTTACTATGTATTAGGAGGAGCCACACAAATTTCCAATATTTGACTATTTTTGATCCATGAGAATCACCACTTCCACATAGTGCAAACCTAATACACCCTTTTCAAAAGAAATACATCTGTGTTTCTCTTAAAAAGTGCTCCATAATTCAAATGTTACCCAAACTGGAAGATGCCATGTCGCTGCCCAAGACGGGAGAGGGTATAGCCACTTCTTCGGGCGGCCCAGCCAGGGCTGCAGGGGGCTCTCCCGTGTCACAGATGGACAGACCAGAGCCCTGCAGTTTAGGGCAGCTAGACCTCCCCCAGGCCACTCACCGTAGGACTGACACACCACGTGCACCAGGGGGTAGGACTTCCAGAGGACGCGGTCACACCAGGAGGGCAGGTTGTACTTCATCTGCAAATCAAAGTCACAAGTTTCGTGAAATGTCTGTGACTTCTCAAGCATGAATATGAGTAAATATGAAGAAATATGAGAAAATATGAAGGCGTGGCCTTGGCAATCCTTGAATTCGTCTGCTGTTGGTTCTTTACTGAATTTCCCCCAAGACGGCTTCACACCCCTTCACTTGCCTTGTGCCCCCATACTCTCAGACTCCTGGCCCCCTGCTTTGGAACCAGCCTGGCCCACCGCTGTGCTCCCTCACCCACCCTCCTCTCCAGTTCAGAATCTCATGTATTTTTACATTCTTTTACTTTTTTTCTAACTCAGATGAAACTCTCTACCTGTGTTTTCAACTCAGGCTCTGTTTATCTTCTCCAGCTACTTACTTCAATAACAAACTCCAGCTATCACAGCTGACCCATCTATTCACACATCTATCCTGTCTACTTATCCATCCATCTATCCAACCACCCATCAACTCATTCATCCACCCACCCACCTTCCCAATTACTTATCTTTCCACCTATCTACCCATCTATCTACACATCTACCCACTCATCCATTGATCCATCTATCCACCCACCTACTCATCTATCCATCTGTCCATCTGTCCATCCACACATCCATCTCCCCATCCAATCATTCAAACAATATGTACTAAGTCGAGCCCTCTCTGGGCTTCACTTGTGAGCAGCACTTGCACTGGGTGTAATAAACAAAACACCCTGGCAATGATACTGCTCTCCCTTCATCAATATCCCTATTGATTCCTCCTTAAGTTCTAGCTCTCTCCTCTGCCTCCAAACGTAAAGGTGCTCACCCTAAAAGACCCTGCCTCTTCCATCTCCTTCAACTATTTTTCTCCCTTCTCCTTTTTAGCAATTTTCGTTCAAGAATGTTGTTTTTGCCTCTACGACTGGACTGCCCACTCCTTTTTTTAACTTGAAGTACAACTTACATAGAATGAAGTGTACTCGTCTTAAATGCAGAGCTTGAGGAGGTTTTAAGGTAGTATACACCCATTTAACCACTACCCAGATCAAGATTTAGAAAATTTCCACCATCACAAAAGGTCCCCTGTCCCTTCCATGTCAACACTATCCCGTCTTCAAGGCGAACACTATTGTGACTAATGGCTCCAATGATTCATTTTGCCTGCTCTCGAACTTATAAATGGTGTACAGTTGACCCTTCCATGATGCAGATTCTGTGCGGGTCAACTTACAAGCAGATTCTTTTCAATAAGTATGTACAGTACCATAAATGTATTTTCTTTTCCTTTTGACTTTCTTGATAACATTTTCTTTTCTCTAGCTTAGTTTGTTGCAAGAATACAGTATAGAACATAGAAAATATGTGTTAATCAATTGTTTATGTTACTTGTACGGATTCTGGTCAACAGCAGGTTACTACTGATTAAGTTTTGGGGGAGTCAAAGGTTATGTGTAGATTTTCTATTGCATGTGTGGTTCGAAGGTCAATTGTACATTCTCTGTGTCCGGCTTCTTTCACTCACGCTCTTGCTTATGGAAGGTCTTTCATGCTACTGCCGGGTTGCGTTGCATTGTACGTACGTACCACATCTGTCTGTTCGACTGTGGGTGGAAGTAGGATTGTTCTGCTTTTGGACATTGTAAACAAAGTTGTTAAACCATTCTTGTATTTGCCTTTTAGGGAACAAATGGACTAATTTCTCTCGGGTCTACACCAAAGTGGAACGGCTGAATCATGGGGTAGGTGTAGTTTCACAGGTGCCGCCAAACTGTCACTTCTTGACCTTGAACTTCGCAGCCCTGGCCTCCCCTGAGAATGACAGAGATGAGGAAAGCAGGGCTCTACCCCCGATCTATTGCTTCGGAACCTGCGGGATGAGCCCCAGATGCCTGCGTTTCTGAAAATCTGCGCCAATGACTCACCCGCACGACCCTGGTAATGAGCCAGCCTCCTGCAGCCGGGATCCCACCTCCAAGACCCTGCACACCCGGTTCCTTTAAGACCCACCAAAACCTCTCAGCAGCAAGTTCAGCTCCCCATGCCAGGTTCACCTGAATGACATGCGCTCTCCACCCACATGTCACACCGGTTATCACCACCAAGTCTGTCACCCCAGCTTCCATGATGCAAACTGCCTGGTTGGTCTTCCCGCCACCCACGCGAGCAAATGTGTTTCGTCTCCTTTGTCGTCTCTACCTCGCCCTCTCATCTCCTAACGTAGATGCCCCCAGATCTGCCCCCAGATCTGCCCGGCTCTTCTCCCCTCACCCTCCACTCAGTCCTGTCTTCTCTGGGCTGGCAACTGGTCTATGGCTCAGCCTGGCCTCTCTCATTAGCATCAGCCTAGTATTTGAACTGCTTCTGGATGTTGTCTGAGATTTCCCATTACAGAAGTCTGAAAATAAGCTCTATTCTTTCTCCTCCAAGTCAGCTCTGCCTTCTGATTTCCCAGTTTTTAATCAATGGCCATCAGACCCATCAACATATCCTGCTTTTCTTCTTTTCTTCCACTTTCATTGTTCTCTTCACCGAGGCAGACCCCAGTTATTTCTCAGCTGGACCCACCCCAGGGCCTCCGCACTGGGCCCTGCGCCGCTCTCGCCCCTCCCACCGAAGCAGACTGGGGTGCTCTGTGCATCTGTGACACTGCCAGCTGCCCTGCCCCTGGCCTCACCCCCAGGCAGAACGGTCGCTGGCTCCCTGGTACCCATCGAAAATGTAAACCTTAACCTGGGACATCTGAGACCTTGCTCTCCAGCCTGTGTCATCGGTTTTGCCTCACTCAAATAAACTCTTATAAACGTTCAAACACAAAACAAAGCGAACAAACAAAAAACCTTAATCTGGCATCTGGGGCTTCCCCCTCTCCACCTCAAGCCAACCAGACCACCCCCTCACCAGCCCCAAACGTGTCCCCCTGAACCTGCCACACAGTCACAAGCGGACACCTCACAAGAAGGGGTGCTGTCCTGAGCGGGTGTCCTGCTCTGGGGAGGCCTCAGCCTCACTCAAGGGGCAGCAGTCCTGGATCTTTTCTTCCTCGGTAACGTCTCTGTTCTGGCATCTTCCCTACCCTTGGCCTTCCTCTCCTGCTCCAGTCCTCCACGTGCCCCTGAGCCCCGGGGAAGCCCGGGGGTGCTCACGGGCAGTGTTTGGATCATCCCCCATTCCCCTAGGCCTCTCGTGGCCCAGGAAGCTCGCCACTGCAGCAGTCTGGCCTCAGGACCCCGCTGCAGGCCTGGCTTCCCTGGGTTGGGTCCCCCGGAAGACAGTGGACATGTTTCTTGCCTCAGCATCTGCGCCAGCGATTCTTTCAACCAGAAACGGATCAGTCCCCTGAACCCTGTCATGGCTTCTTGTTGAAACCCAAGCTGTTCTTTAAGGCACCACACATGCTCTTCTTTAAGAAGCCTCCCTCACCCTGGCTGGTGTAGCTCAGTGGGTTGAGCACCAGCCTGCAAATCTAAAGGTCACTGGTTCAATTCCTAGTCTAGGTCACCTTCCTGGGCTGCAGGCCAGGTCCCCAGTTGGTGGTGTGCTAGAGGCCGGTGATCAATGCTTCCCTTGAACATCGATGTTTCTCTCCCTCTTTCTTTTCTCCCTTCCCCTCTAAAAATAAATAAAACCTTCAAAAAAAAAAAAACCCAAAACAACCTTTCCTGATTCTTCCCGCCCTAGATGATCACTTCCTTCCCTGATTGCTCCTCTCTGCATTTGGCATCATCAAATTCTTCTGGTGCATCTGTCTTGTCTTGTGCTTTTTATTATCAACTCTGGGGAGGGTGGGGGGCCCACAGCCCACTCCCCTTTGATCTGCCGTCGCCCAGCAGAGCACCCAGCCCACCCCAGGGTACCAGTCGGTATCTGTTGGACAAGAATGAACGTTTTATTGCAGTGTCCCCACTCATGGTTCCTGGGAACCCCAGTGGCCCCATGGGGTGTTCACTGGCACTCCGGGGCCGACCAGAGTTGGCACCTGCATTGTCCGGTGGGAACTACTGTGTTTGTACGTCTGCAATGGCTCTGACAAGGCGGCAGAGACGCTAGCTTCGTGAGGACTCACTTGGCAGATCTGGCAGATCACAGGATTTCTTTTAAATGAGCTCCAGAACCCAGTTAAGGAAACAACACTTTTAATCCTCTCAGAGTCCTTGAATACATGGACAGAAGGTAAATAGCATAGAAGTCATGAGTCCAACTCCTTATAGTGTGTAAGCCTGGTTGTCCAGCCTCTCCTCTTCTTTTAATTTAAAAGATTTTATTTATTTATTTTTAGAGAGGGGGGAGGGAGAAAGAGAACAAAGGGAATCATCCAACAGTTGCCTCTCACACACCCCCAACTGGGGTCAGGGCCCACAACCCAGGCATGAGCCCTGACCGGGAATCGAACCGGATTCTTGCTCTGTGACACAATGTGATTTCTAGTTTCCTCTCTCTTTTTTGTTGTTGCTTGGTGGACAAGGATGCTCCTCCCAGTCTGTCTGCCTTTATGGAAACAGACCCAAAAGCCAGGGGTGGAGACAGTGGGCGGGGAGCACTCACCCCCGTGGCCTTCTGCTTAGTGTAGGCGTATTTGTCCCGAGTCAGTCTTTCAAAACGGTAGGTGGGCGCGAACGTGATTTCTTCCTCCTCTGAAACCAAACGAAGCCCTGGCGTCAGCTTCCCTGCGCAGCGTTTCACACCGGGAGACCCCAAGTTCCCTTCACCTCCCGGTACATGATCCTGCCCCCACCCACGGTGAGGATGTTTGGGAGACAAGGGGAGGCAGACAGAAGCTGGAGAGGGTCCCAGGGAAAATGAGGGCAGCGCTCACCGAAGTGCAGGAAGACCTTCTGCTCCCTCCTCTCCATGAGCAGCTGGTCATGAGACAGGAGGTCTGCGTACTGCTGCTGCCTGATCTTCTGGATGATGGCTTCCGCCTCCTGGGGCGAGGACAGGGCCGCTGTGAGACTCCCGTCTCCTCCAACAGGTGGGGGCACATGTCCCCGCCCGCTGCTGCCACCCCAGGTCCCAGAGCCCCCGATGCTGCATCAGACCGGTCCCCGCCTGGGGTTGCTGGGTTGGTGCTTCTTGGCACCACTGTTTTACAGAGAAAACCCTGCAATGGTGAAGCCCAACCCGATAACCTAAGTTCCTGGCTATTCCAGATTTGCCGAAGGACACTGTATTTCTTTGCGCTGTCTTTTAATATCATTGTATTGACACCTCACTCGGGAGGCAGGCACGTACGTCCCCATTGCTGTTTCTCATGCCTGCGCAGACAGGCAGCCCCGGCCCTGGGTGGGCAGCTCCTTACCCAGGTGGGCAGCTCCACGCGGTAGTTGAGGTCCCCGAGCCAGAAGAGGTGGGTGAAGCGGTGAGTGATGTTGAAGGGACTCAGCTTCTTGTCTCCCAGAGCCAGAAACCGAAGAATGTTCATGTAGTTTTGGTTTCGCCTAATGAACCGACAGAGCAGCCGCCTCGGTGCAGGGCCCCTACTGCACCGTGGCGGAGTTCGGAGGGGCAGCAGGCGGGGTGGGGGGGGTACTGAGACTCAGATTTCTGGCCCCTGCTGTAACAGACCACGCACCAGAGCCCCGGGAGCACGTGCTCAGTGGGAACCAGAATTGTGAACGTTCTAGAAGGCTGTCTTCACCACTGGGCCACCGACAGGCCCCTGTGAGGGTACGCTGGGGGGGGGCGGGGGTTGTAACTCTAGAAAGAAGTGACGTTCAAGTGTCTATGTACTAGGTTAATGACACAAAAAATGTCCATTCTGCCCTCCCGATGAGATCCAGCCACTCGGAAAGTTACAACTGTGAAGATACAGTGGGAAAAGCCCCCAGACGCCGAGAGGATGGGGTCCCAGCCGCCACCAGGACAGTGTGACCAGGGCGTGAGGTCTGTCTGGGCACAAAACCCCAACAGAGGCTCTTGTGGAACAAATGCTGTTACCTGAGTTTCTTTTCACTTCCGGAAGTCAAGTGGCTGTTGACAAACCCCAAGGAGGTTCCATTGAACATGAATGACACCCCCACAGCTCCCTTGTTCCCTAGAGGGAGGGGAGAAAGAAGTCACAATGCCAAAGGGGCGGACTTGTCATGTGGCAGAAGTCAACGTGAGGAAAGACGGAGAGAAGCAGGTGTGGGGAAAGGAAGCAAGCGACACAGCTTCATCTGGGAGAAGAGATGGAACAGGAGACAGGGACTGAGGAGAAGGAGGGACTGAGGTCTCAGCCTCCTCAGACCTAGGAGGCTGAGACCCCTTCAGGAGAAGAAAACGAGAATGGCCAGCAGCCTCGGGTTCTCAGCAGGGCCCAGGGAGGAGGCTGCCAGGGTAACCCATCCTGGCACCTCCCCCTAAGGGGTGCTCAGTCCCCCCACATGCCAGGCAGGCTGGACAGTGAAAAAGCAGCCAGAAGCCTTGGGAAGAAGATACAGAACAGGGAGCCAGGGCCGGGCGGCTGACCTTGCACCTGGCTGACTCCAGGTCCCTGGGGAAACCAAACCTGGTGGTCCCGCACGGGGACCCCCTTTTTCTACCAGTTTTGCTCACTTCTAGACCAGTGGTTCTCAAAGTCTGTTCCGGTATCAGGGTCATGTGGGAAGTGCACATTCTCAGGCCCCACCCTGGAGCTGCTGAATCAGAAATTCCGGGGTTAGGCCCCGCAATCTGGGTTTGCCAAGACCTCTAGGTCAGGGTGGGCAAACAGGGGTCCACCACCAGCCCAAATGGTTTTTTGATATTTTGTGACATATTAAAATGACATGAAATTTAAGTTTCGGAACCCACGAATAGCATGTTACTGGTGCACAGCCACAGCCGCAGGGTTGAGTAACTAGTTGTAAGAGGCTGCATGACCCGCAAAGCCTCAAAGCTGCACTGTCTGGCCTTTTAGAGTCTGCCCCATGCGATTCCGCCTGAGAGCCCAGTCTGTCCCAGTGCAGCAGCGATGAGCTTATGTACTAACACTCAAACGTGGCTGATCCAGTTGTGGCTGGTATGGCTCAGTGGGACGGGCCTTGTCCTGAGAACCAAAAGGTTGCCAATTTGATTTCTGGTTGGGGCACATGCCTGGGTTGTGGGCCAGGTATCCCGTTAGGGGACGAGAGAAACAGACTATTGATGTTTCTCTGGTACGTCAATGTTTCTCTCCCTCTCTCCCTCCCCACCTTTCCCTCTCTCTGAAAGTAAATAAATAAAATCTTTAGAACAAAAAAAAAAAGGCCTTGGGGATGAGCCAGCTCCACCTCCTTGGGAGGGGTGGGGGGTGTGTGGAGGGTGGCGGGCAGCACAGGCAGAGACCAAACGAGGACTCCAGGAGGTTCCTAGGCAGCAGAGGGTGGGTTTCACAACGGGACAGCCGCTGCGACAGGAAGGAAGGAGGGACCGGGGGTGTGGACGCGGCAGTGGGAGGTTTGTCAGCAGAAAAGCTGAGACAGCTTTTCACGTTTGCCTGCGGCAATTCTGCTACTTCCTGTTCTCTCTGGGACTCTCCTGTCCCGACTCCAACCCCCAGAAACCGCTGGCCTCACCCTCACCTCCGCTCACGGCCCATGTGGGGCGCCTGCCACACACACTCACAGACAGGCTCACACACCCACACACAGACGCACACTCACACAATCAGAGTCCTCTGCCCTCATTTCGACTCTCTGAAGCAACCCAATTGGTCCCACTGGCTTACAGCTGGAAGCCAGCCTTTCTGCATCCCACCTGAATCAGTCCAGGCCCACACGGGGGCTCAGCAATCCACAACCTGGGGCCAGCTCAAGGCCACCGCCTGGGTGGGGAGCCAAGTTTTACAGAACAGCCCCTTCCATGCACCTCATGCAACTGTGTCTGCTTTTGTGTGACAGCAGTAGGGACGAGGAGTGGCACATAGCCTGCAAAGCTCAAGAATTTCCTCTCTCGCCCTTCATAAGTCCGTGAACCCCATCCTAGGTCCCCAACGTGCAAGGTGGGGCCCGTGGACTTGTCAGAAACACAGAAAGTCGGGCCCCAGAGACCAGCAGAGTCAGAACCTGCATTTCAGCCAGAGCCCTCAGGTCCTGGTGTTGACCCGGGTGAGTGTCGGCTGGGGGACCGACCACCTTGGTCTGCCCAGGACCGAGGGGATCCCAGGATGTGAGACTCGGTTTTTAACCTGGGGATGTCCCGGCCCCTCCCTGCTCACCCAGGGTGTTGGCGATGCCCGTCTTCACATTGTCGGTGCAGATGTGGCTGATGCGGTTCTCGTGCTCCGGCTTGGCCAGCACCACGATTCGAATGTTCCAGAGCGTGTGGATGGCGATCTGGTGGGGAGGACAGCGCTGTGACCCTCGCTAGAGTGTGCTGCCTGGCCCTAGAGATAGAGATGCCCACCTAGCCCTCGCCTCCTGGGTGTGGGGCCCCCTGTCTGTAACCCTTAGACTTGGGGGGACTCCTAACGATGTCCCACAGATGGGACAATGTATCTTAAAGATGAGAGCTGACCCTGATGAGGTTTCAGTAATTTCAAGATAATCTACAAGCACAGGCAGGGCAGAGGGGAGCCCCAGTCACTTTCAGGGGCACTCATAGGCCCTCTAGGTTTCTGAATACAGGTCCCCCTTTTTGGCCCTGGAAGGGAGGGGTGGACCACTGAGCACTCAGGCATTTTAAGGAACCGAGTGCCAATATGCCAAGCCAACCCGTGCCTCTGAGGTGCCCCTGGCCAGCCTTGCAAATCCTGCTGCCCTGAAGTCCCAGCCGGGGCGGTACCCGCTGTTCACCGTTTTAAAAGTTATGCTGGTGATTTCTTGCAGGGAGTTTCTGAGTATCTCCAGCCACTCCTTCTCGCCCAGGGGGTCCTCCTGGGTGCCGATCACGTAGATGTCGTGGGGGATGTAATCAGCAGAGTCATCCCGTGTCTTTCCCTGCCCCTTGGAGAGAAACCAGGACGTGATCTTCTTGGGAGGGGGGGCGTTACCTTCAACAGCAAAACCCAACACCGAGTGAGTCACAGGTGCATGAGCAGAATTCAAACAGAGCTGGGGGAGGCACTGGGGGTGGCACATCACAGACACGAAAACCTTTCAGGCTGCCCCCCCTCCCACTGCCTCAGATGCAGAGCCAGGTACTGCTGTCCCCCGGATGTCAGGTCAGTTAAGTGTCTTTGTGAAGATCGTGTGAAGTGTCAAAGACTCGCAACACTGGAAGGCCCACGTGGTGTCTGGCACTAGGTATACATGAGGGCAAACACTGCCTAGTCTCTGCAGCTACACTGGTAACTGAGACACAGCCCTCCAGGAGCACAGAGTCCATGGTCAAGGCGACCCAGTGGGCAGACAGGTTTGGGATGGGGCCTCTGGCCCACCGCCGGGAGACCATGGCTTCCATGGCTTCCTTGCAAATGAGAGACCTCAGCCAAGGTCAGATGTGAGGTCTGACCTCACAACTGAGATGGGGGAAGGAAGGGTGAGGAGAACTACTCCATGCCCACTCCGAAAAATGCACTGAAGTAGCTCAATAAAGATACAACAGATGATGTATTTCTCCTCTCAAAGACCTCAAAGGTTAAGTAAGCTTTTCCCTGAGATTCAACTTCTTGGCTACCAAGTCCCAAAAAGGCAAGACATGAAGTAACTTGACTGCTACGGAGCTCTGCTCCCGACTACGTCTCATGGCGGGAGTGTGAATGCTGGGGGCCGGTGGTCTCTGCTAAGGGAGACCCTCCCACCCCACCCTGGTGTAGCCAGTTCCTCTGCACTGTCTCCTGTGTGAAGGGCACCGCCTGGAGTTGTACAACAGGGCGGCCTACACCGTGCCCAGCCAAATCTGGACCTCCATGCTCACAGAGGGAAAAATGGGCGAGGGCTGTGAGCCCACATGCACGCACCTGCGCATGAGTGTCAGTAAGAAACATGGGAGAGGACGTGTCAGGGTGCAAGGCCCCGGGGCATGGGCCCCTGGAATATCCAGGGGTGAAGGCCTGGTTGGGGGCTGGCAGCTCATGGAATTGAGCTAGTCCGGAGCTCTCCTGACTTCCATCCTGGAAGACTGGCCCATCCTCCACCCCGTGGGTGGGCCAGGAGCCCCACACTGAGTTCTCACTCCCAGGTCTCCCCTGCCCCTGCTGAGGCTCAGCCCCTCCTTCCCGGGCTGCTGGGCACCTATCTGCTGCATCGGGAGGGGGCGGGCCTCGCTCTGCCCAGGACCAAGCTGGGGAGACAGATGCCCAATTACATTTGCGTTTCAGGTAAACAATAGATGGTCTTTAGAACAAGTTTGTCCCATGCAGTATCTGTTTATCTGAAATGCAAATTTAAATGGACATCCTATATCTATTTATGTTTCATGTCCTAATGAATACTTACACTAGATAATTACTCAGCATAATTTATAGTTAATATACAAATATATATTACTATATGAGTATAATTTTTAGTATAACATACATTTGGTATATATCTAGTACTTATTTCTAGCTGCATAGTTATACTAAGTAGTTAGTAAAATTTATATTCAGTACATTTATATTCACTTATATTTTTGGTATATAACACATATTAGTATATAAACATATAATATGTACATTTAATGTAATATATACTTAGTATCTATGTATGTATTTCTAGGTAAATACCTATACTAAAAATTACTTGTCATTTATATGAAATTCAGATTTAATTGGGCACCATCCCTCTCTGTTCGTCTGTCTCTGTCTGTCTGTCCCTGGCAATGCTGCTACTCCAGGAAGGAGTTCTTTCTTCAAGCCGGGGCCCCTGGGGAGCTGCCTAAGACGGGCGGGTGCCCAAGAGCCCCAGCCTAGATGCGCAGTTTCTTCCCCCAGTACTCTCCAACTCCGACACGCGCCATAAGCCACCGAGCGGCTACTGGGGAACAAGAGTCCCAGGGCTCAGGGAAAAGGTTGGGATTCCCTAGAAGGGAGGCTATACAGGGGGCCTGGGACGGGGGAGACATGTTCCCTCCGCCCCTTTGAGGGTGCCTGAGGCAGGAAGCAGAACCCAAAGGGAAGGAGGGGAGGGAGGGGAGGGAGGGGGGCTGCCAGACCTACCCATGTTCCAGGTGCCGATGAAGATGGTGATCATGTCGGGCTCCGGCTGCTCCGAGTGCTTGTTCTTCATCTGCTGCAGGAGCTGGCAGAAGCCTTCTCTCTTCTAGGGAGTGAAGGCAGACAGTCTCAGAAAGGCCTCTGCCCCACGCACACTGCACCTTCACAGCACTTGGTCAGTCTCACAAAAACTGAGAGGAGTACTAGTCAGGGCACGCTTCCCGGATGCCGGTCAGGAAATGGGACCGAGGAGAAGAGAGTGGCCGCTCTGTGACCAGGCTGGGTGGCAGCAAGGACTGCCCTCCAGGAAAATGGTCTAGAACTGGACATAGGCCCAACCATATCACGGGAACTGCAGCGTGCATTTCAGTGCAGAAAAAAATAGACACAACTGTAAGGTCCAACCTTAGGAGATGAATTCACAATGGTTTTCGGGGTCATCCATATGCTGGAATACCACAGGGTTCAAAAGCCACGGTGCAGAAACACTTTTTATCAACAAGACTAGGTGGCCAAAATATATTAAACACAAAAAGCCTGGTGATGAAACAGCATGCACGGCACCACTGCACTTTTATCAAAAAACACAAAAACCACCAGGAAAGATGCGGTGTAGGAAGGTTTACCGGTGGTGCGCGGGTACTGCTGTTTTTCACTTTCTGCCTCTGCAAATTTTCCACCGAGGAGACTAGATTGCTTGTGTAATGAAAGGAAATTTAAATTAAAGGAGCTAATTGAAAGGAACAAAGGCAGGCTGTTGCCATAGCCTTCCTAATAGTCCTCATTTACTTTTCCTGGAAACCCGCCTTTAGTTAGAGATGGCGCAAAACGCAGTGCCTCGGGTTACTGGGGGTCTCCAGCCTGCAGAGCCTGCGGCAGTGGGTGGCACTGGCGTGTGTCCCTGTGCCCAGCACAATGCCCAGCCCGGCCTTCCATCACCTATCTGCCCCCCATGTCCCTGTTTCTCCCAGCCCCTTCCGATCACTGTTCCCAGTTCTCCCCACCCTCTCAGCAGTTCTGGGCACCCGGGACCTCCCACTTGTCTCCCGCCGGCCCCACCTTCAACTTCACCCACAGGGGGCCCCATCCCTGTAAACCTGTACTAGGAGCCTTTGTCCCCCTGCCTTACCACGGTGCCAAGCTGTGACCAACCGACACCTGAGGTGCTGGGGACCCCTTGTGTCCTGCCTCATACGCACTGTGCACCAGAGGACAAACACGAAGGCTGTGCGTAGACTTAACCATCTCCTGTCACTTACTTTGGAGTCGGCAAAGACATATTCCTTCCTCAGGGTCTTCTCCTTCTCTGTTTCCACCAAAATCACCAATTTGTTCAGAAACTTCTGAGACTTGATGAGCTGCAGGACTTAGGAGAAATGGAAGTTCACTTACTCATTCGCCCACTCGTCCCCTAACAGGCACAGTGCCCACTGTGTTCTGGCACCTGACTGACAGCCCCGACCCTCCCCTCCTCAGGCAGAGCACCATCTTCGTGCTGAGTCTCCCAGACCCCCTTGCTCCTGGCTGCTCTTGCGGGGAGAACCTCACGTGGAGATAGAGTGGTGTCTGCAACGAGCAAGGGGTGGCCTGGTCGGGCGGAGGAAGTGTGACCCCGTCTTTTCATCTTTCTCCCTCTTCCCTTCTCATCCTCCTCCTCCCTACCCCCTTTCCTACTTTTGCTTTGCTTTTAATTTACATCTAAATTAATTTTTTTTTTATCAATGAAGAAAAGACTCAAGTTGTTCCGTAAGATTTGTATACACAGTAATACACCCCGCCCTGGTGAACACCTAAGGCTCTGCCCCTCATAGGTAAAAGGCACGAACAGACCAAAACATGGTTCAAGAAGAACTCAAAGCCCCCGAGCCCATAACTTTAAGCAATCAAGAAATAGCCAAACTTTCAGATGCACAGTTCAAAACACTGGTGATCAGGATGCTCACAGAACTGGTTGATTTAGTCACAAATTAGAGGAACATATGAAGGCTAAACTAATTGAAATGAATGGAAATGCACAGGAAACCAATAGTGATGGAAAGAAAACTGGGACTCAAATCAGGGGAGTGGACCAGAAGGAAGAAAGAAACAGCCAAACAAAAATATGGAGAAACAAGAATTCAAAAAAAGGAGGAGAGGCTTAGGAACCTTCAGGACATCTTTAATTGCTCCAAAATTCAAATTATAGGGGTACCAGAAGGGAAAGAGAAAGAGCAAGTGGAAAACTTATTTGAACAAATAATAAAAGAGAACTTTTCCAACCTGGCAAAGAAAATAGACTTCCAGGAAATCCAGGAAGCTCAGAGAGTCCCAAAGAACTTGGACCCAAGAAGGAACACACCAAGGTACATCATCATTACATCAGCCAAGATTCAAATGAAGGAGAATTCTAGAAGCAGCAAGAGATAAGGGGACAGTCACCTACAAAGGAGTTCCCATCACACTGTCAGCGGATTTCTCAAAAGAGACCTTACAGGTAAGTGGCTGGAAAGAAGTATGCCAAGTCATGAAATTCAAAGACCTACATCCAAGATTGGTCTATCCAGCAAACCTTTCTTTTAGAATGGAAGGACAGATAAAGTGCTTCTCAGATAAGATCAAGTTCAAGAAGTTCATCATCACCAAGCCTTTATTATATGAAATGTTAAAGGGACTTATCTAAGAAAGAGAAGATAAATATAAACAGTGAAAGGACAGCAAACTCACAGTTATTAACAACCACACCTAAAACAAAAGCAAACTAAGTGGACATCTAGATCAGGAGTGGAACCATAGAAATGAAGATCACATGGAGGGTTAGCAACAGGGGAGTGGGAGGAGGAGAAGGGGGGAGAAGGTACAGAAAATAAGTAGCATAGACGGTATGTAGAAAATAGATAGGGGGGAGGGCAAGAATAGTATGGGAAATATAGAATCTAAAGAACTTGAGACACATGGTCATAAACTAAAGGGGGGGAGATTGGTGGGGGAGGGGGGTGCAGGGTGGAGGGGAATGAAGGGGGGAAATAGTACTGTAATGGCGTAATGAATAAAATAAAATAAATTATATTAAAGAAAAAAAAGAATCCTAGGAACTAACTTCCAAAGATACAGATTCCAACCTTCAGGTATCCCAGCTCCTGGAGGTTTGCTGACCTTCAACCATGGAGACAGGATGACATGAAGCCAGATGACTACAACTGGACAACACACACTGGACCATTCCTGTCCTTATCGGGATGGGCTGTGCTTGTCTGCATGTGAACTTGGCAACCCCCTCCCTCCTTATAAACACTTCTGCATCCTGAGAGGGGAGATGGGTTTTGAGACCTGAGTCCCCCGTCTTCCAGGTGGCCTGCACCTGAAAATAAACCACTTTCCTTTACTTCAGCACCTGCCTCTTTAATATTGGCCTTCGCAGCCGTGGGAAGACTTGCGTCCAGGTACATTTTGGTAGAGCAGCATCTCTAGCAGCTTTCCAAGAAAGGGGGACAGGGTGATGTTTGGAAGTCTTGGATGTCTGAAAACACTACTCTCCACTTTACTCACAGAACCCTAAGTTGAGAAGGATCTCCCCCAGACTCGGAGACCTTTCTTCACCACCTGTAGCTCCTGGCAAGGCTGCAGCATTGTCCCGATCCACCTGTGTCCAGAAGTGTGCACACAACAGGCCTGGAGGCCCTGGGCCAGCACCTGGAACTCAGGTTGTGGAGGGCAGTTCCCAGCACTCTCCCAACTGCTTGCTGTGCCTAACCTGGACAAACATGGTGTCAGCTGACCCCCTGCCCTCCACCTGGGAGTTGGGGATGCCTACAGGGGCCAGGCGGAGGGTGGCTCTGTGACTGCAAACACCCTGGAGTTTCCCTGGTGGATGGCTCTTCACGCACATATTCACGCCTTGTTCGTAGATGTGTGGCTGGTGCCCCTGGCCTTTATCCACATGCCCTTTCCCTGTGACAACCCACAGCTGCATGACTCTGCTGGGTCCCGTGAGCTCCCCTGGTGAACCACTGAACCTGGAGGGGATCTTGGGGACCCCCAACAGTCTCCAATTCTATTGTTTGCTTTAGCTTTTGGATCTTTCCCTCAAATGCAGTGTTGTAAGGCCTCCCAATGCCGTGTCGCAGGGCAGGACGGTTTTCCTGTTGTTCGGGGCACTAGATGGACCAGGTCCCCACTGGAAACCAGTGTTGTTCAGTGCACTGAGAATGTTCTTGAACAAATCTTCTGTCTCCACTTTCCCTTATTGGCACTTATTTTGGTGTGGAACCTCATAACTGGCCTCCCACTTTTTAAAAATCCCCGATTTTCCCTCACTCAGTAGGGAAAGGTAGGACATTTGTTCTATCTTTTGGGAGCTTTCCTTGATGTTATATTCTCACTTTTCCCTTGAGTCTTTATTTTTTAAAAAATAGCTTATTGATTTTTAGAGAGGAAGAGAGGGAGAACATCATCAATGTGTGGTTGCTTCTCACGCTCCCTACTGGGGACCTGGCCTGCAACCCGGCCATGTGCCCTGACTGGGAATCAAACAGGTGACCCTTTGGTTCACAGTCCAGTGCTCAATCCACTGAACCACACTAGCCAGGGCAGTTTTAATTTTTTTAAATATCTGCCATCATTTTTTGATTCCTCACTCCCTCCCTATTTTCTTCTCTGAATTTTCCTTTTGAAATAGCACTCTTCTTGTCTCATGGTCCAATTTCCTTTAACCTTCATGATTTGTTCCCTTCAAGTCTTCTGCTTTCTGGCCTTGAATCCCCCACCTCCCCGCCAGGGCCTGGGGATCCCTGGCTGTCTGTGTTCCAAGAGACAGAGGGGCCTGCTGAGCAGGGCTTCTGCACTGGGTGCTCACGGGCTGATTCACGGGGAAACCTTGCTGTGGAAGCATATTTAGATCTTTGTGTGCTGGTCACATGCTCCAAAGACACTTCCCACTTCCTGCCTGCAGGGCGTGGGCCTCCCTGGCAGCATCCTGGGTTAGACGGGGATGGGTCTCAGCCTGCAGAGTGGACAGTAGTATGTTTCCAGCAGCTTCCTCTGGCCTCACCGTGGCCAGTGTCCCCCAGCCCTTTACGATCTGCTGAGGACAGACAGCCTGCCTCCTGCCTGTGAGGAGTGGGGGCATTTGGTGGGTCTGACTCTTTTTAAACAGATCTCCCTCCAATTCTGCTGTTTATAACCCCAAGCTCAGACCCACTCCTGGGGCTGCTGATGCTATCGATTCCCACGCCCTTTGTGGGTTCTGCGGTGTAACTCAGGTGTCTCAGTTTTTCCTACTACTTGCTTAAAATTTAACATTTTTTGGTTCCGGCAAGTTGGTTGTCACGGTCCGCCTGTTTTTCAGTGTGTAGAATGTCGTCACCATCATTTGCTCTTGTCTTTGACCTTGTGAGTGCTGCCTTAAGGAAGGGAGCGGACAATAGTACGTGCGTTCAGAGGCCACTGTGATTTGAAGTTTCAACCAAGGGACACCAGGTGTGTTCTGTGTGCTCCGTGCGCCAGCCCGGATGCCCAGACGCCTCTAAATCTGCTGGTGTTTCTCTGTATCTCCCTCCTTCTGAATGTCTGGCTTCCCTTGCCATCTGCTTGCAGAGCTGTGTGGCTGCCCAGGTGTGACCTCTTGCTGGATCAGGATTAACACTCGAGCAGGGCCAGTCAGAGGCCCTCCTGGCTGCACACCTAGTTAATGGATAGAAACTCTTTGGGTCCCTCCCTCCCGCGGCCCTCCTCCTGTCACTCATCGGCAGGTATGAGCAGTCTACCTCAGACACCCCTGACCTGTCCGTCTCCAGGCACCGCCACCTCTCGCCTGCTTGCTGTCAGGGCCTCCGAATCAGTCTCCCAGCACAGCAGCCACAGTTTTTTTAAGTGGGAACCTGTCACTCCACTGCCTGCCACCTCCTCACGAGGACTCAGCTCACCCAGCCCCCAAGACTGGCACCTGATGTCAAGAGTCACCCCGGCTCCAGACCCTCCAGGCGCCTTCTCCCAAGGCTAACATGCTCCTGCCCTGGAGCCTCTGTTCCTGGGCCCCTTTCCCAGGTTCCCCCATGGCCAGCACCTCCTGGATACTCAGGGCTGTCAGCTCAGATGGCCCTCCTCCATCACTGTCACATCGTCCCACTGAAATCCCAGCCTGGAATTCACCCTGACACTGTCCTGATGTGCACGTCTGTGTACGTCTTTTCTCCTAGACTTGACCTCGACCTCCCTGGCTTGTTCACGCCCATCTCCCCAGGGCCTGGCACACAGTGGCTGCTCAGTGAGTGAACACATTATGACTTCTTCCTGTGGACACTGGCTTCTCCTATGCCTGCTCGGCTCGGTGCCAGAGCTGCTGTGGACGCGGTGATTGGAACGGGCAGGAACGCTCCAGCCACTGCCGCCAAAGAGTTGCTCCTAGAGGGCAGCCCGAGGCAGGGCCACCACACCTGGACACGGACCTCGGGCCAGGACTGGCTCTGTCCCACTGGCACTGCCAGAGCCTATAGGGATCCCTCTTTTGCGGGGACACGGAGGTGGCTGTGAGTAGTTAAGTAACTGTCTCCAGGTCACACCCCTATCGAGCCCTGAAGTGAGGGCGTGGACCCGGTTCAGCCAGAGCCCTCACCGTGAAGTACAGTGCCTCCTGACATCAGTCACGGAAGCCCCAGAAACACGCAGCCACATGGACTGTTATTGCGCTGGTCCGGAACCCACTTATTCCTTCATTCATTCAGTCAGTACGTAGCTATTGATGCCCTACTCTGTGCCTGACACTGACCTACACTCTGGAGATTTAGCAGGGAGAAAGACCCACTTCCTGGCCTCGGGGGAACCTGCATTCATGGAGGGGGGAGGGGACACCTGAGCATAACTATTACAGGGGTCTCAGTCACCTGGCAATCCCGAGTGTGCACCTGCCAAGTCCCAGGTCCTGTGCTGGGGTGGGCCTGCGTCAAAGGAAGACCCTGCCCACTTTGGGCGAGGGAACTTGTGAACAGGGAATTGTGTTCTGATGTGACAGGTGCTGTGAAAGGTGAGCCGGGCCCCACAAGCCCAGAGGGAGGCCAGGAGCCAGGCAGGTGCATTCCCTGGAGAGTCTGGGCTGGCAGGCACCAGGCACTTATGCTTCTCCTTTAAGGGCTCAGAAGCCTGCGGTGCAATTGTCCACTGGAGACTGGAGCTGGGATTCCTCAGGGCCCCTCATTTCCAGCTGGGCTCTTTCACCCATCCCTGGCCCGCTTGCCCACCATTCACAATCCCACGAAGGTATATATTCACCCTTCTGGTGCTAACCACGCCGGTTCTCTCCAGCTACAGGACAACAGCTCTGACCCTGACTTTGGCATTCACAGCCCTGCCCACATCCGGGACCCGATGCCCCACTGCTCCTCTCTTTCCGGCCACAACAAACAGCATGCAATCTCCCTAACAGTCTGCTCTATTCCTTGAACATGCCATTGTCTCCATCCAAGTGCCTTCCCCTGCCTCAAGCTTGGTGAACTCCTATTCATTCTTTAAAGTCCCGGACAGAGCCATCTCTGTGGCAGGAAGCCTCTTTGCACCACCCCACAGCAGAGTTCATTGGTCCTCCCCTAGGGTGGACCTTGCCTCTGACCCACATGCTAACACAGGCTTGCAGGCCAGCGTCTCTCTCTAAATTGCTCATTCTTTGAGGGAGGTCTACAACCCAGAGCTGGCCCATGCAAGGTGTTCAGGGAAGAAAATGTCCATTGAATGAAGCTGGCAAGAGCTCACAGTGCTTTTCAGAATCCGGGGAGGTATTTCTTTCAGCCCAGAAACCTCAAGTTTTTTTAGAGCAACCAGGTATTCTTTGATAATCTCTTCACTCATCTTGGTTTCCGTTTCCTCTTGTCAAAGCTGGAACCCCGCCCCCTTTCAGCTGTAACTCGCTCTCTGTCACAGATAAAGAGGAAAAGTGTGGCTCTAGGCTCACGGCTTTCAACACAGCCCTCTCCAGCTCAGGGTCTCAGTGAGTCACCCATCTCTCCTGCCTAACCTGGCCGTGGACAGAGCACCCCTGCCCACCACTGGACCTCAGCTCTGTGTGAATATGACACCCTGTCATGCACCAGCGTCCAGGGACTTTGTTCCCGATCCATCCTCGCTGTCCTGTTCTGCCTTCCTCACAGCTACCTTGGACTTGGAAGGATAATTATGACGATTATGGTGGTGGTGGCGGCAGCCCGTTTTATTGAGCACCTATTAGATCCCAGGCACTACGCACTTTGATGTTTGAGACTCGTGCGGCCCTGCAGGATGCTGTATACCTATCTGAGAGCAGAGCACACTGAGGAGCAGAGAGAGACAGGCCACTAGAACAGGGTCACAAGTGACTGAGCTGGGACTTGAATCTCGTTCTGTGCTGTCTGCATCCTTCCCCTTGCTGCGTCCCACTCCCACACAGAACTGGTCCTCACGCTCCCATCCCCCACTGCCCAGAGAACACCCCTTGGGCCTCGGCATTGCTCCCAGGTGGGACTCAGCAACAGGAGGTTGCAGGATGGGCAAGCCCGTGTGGGCAGAGCCCCTCTCCTGGCCCCCCGCCTGGATACCGGGTCTCAGGCCCACGCTGCTGCAGATCGGTGCAAGGTACTCTCACGTGCACTGGCTCATCTACTCTCAGGGCAAACCTATTATGGAATCTGTTATTATCATCACTACTCCCATTTTACAGATGAGAAAACAGAGGCCCAGAGAGAGCTTGAGTGACTAGGCTGTGATATAGCCAGCCCAGTGGCAGAGTCCAAATCGGCACCAGAGCCCCTCGTGCCCTCACCCCCCACCGTGCCCCCGGGGACTTGCCCCCAAGGATGTGGTGTGTGAATATTCCTGATTCACTCATGATTCACTCGATGATGCAAAGCCTCAGGTGTTGTGAGTGGCTCCGCCATGCCCGGCTCTTTCCTAAGAAGCCTTACGTGCAGATTATTCACTTCATCCTTGTCACCCCCTTTTACAGATAAGGACACCGAGGCCCAGGGCGGCTCGGGGGTCCACAGTCACACAGCTGCTGAGGGGCAGAGCCGGGCTGTGAATTTACACAGTCTGGCTCCAGAGCCCATGCCCTTGGACCTGCCTCTCAGTCGCTGCTATGCTGAAGGTGCTACCTGATTCCGGCCACAGCCCTTATTCATGCAAGGCCCTGCACCAGGCACTAGGAGGCGACCGCAGGTGTCAACCTGGCCCCAGCTGGGAGGATTGTGTCACAGAACTGCCACATCTCCCGGACTCCGAGGAAGGAGGTGGAATGGATAGGGAAGGCCTCGGAGACGAGGGGGTGTGAGAGGTGGACCCTGGAGCCGGGCAGGGTTTCCCACGGGCAGGGTGGGGGCACTGGGTGTCCCGGCGCAGGGGAGCGTGGGCCTGCTGCTGAGCGGTCATCAGTGAGGGCACTAGCAGAACAGGAGTGTGATGGGCGCGAGGGCCTTACTTTTCTTGTGGCTGTAGAACTTGTCCTCAGAGCCGTCCTTGGACTTCTTAATGATCAGTTTCCCAGATTCAACATCGACTTTCAGCTGCAGTTTCTGAGGAATCCCCAGAGACTCTGACTTCACCTGTGAAGAGGAGGAGGAAGAGGAGGAGGAGGAAGAGGGAAAGATGTCGGTCATCTCTTCTTTGTCCAGGCTTTCATCACGGTGCCAACCTGCGATCCCCTCCCTCCCTCGGCCAAGTCCAACCTCTGTGTCCCCTGGGCAGCCATCTGGCTTCTACCCGTAAGCCCCGCTCGCCCAGGGCCACACACCCAGGTTTCCCTGGGCAGCTCCTGACAACTGCTAACATGTTGGGGGGGGAGCCCAGCGAGGCCGCTGGGTGCACGTGAGCTGCTCTGCCCACAGGTGTGCTGCAGGAGACAGGTGAACTGCTGGAAAGCTGTCCATTCACTGCCTCTCTGGACAACACCCATTAATCTGATGTCATCTACTTCCAGAGAGCGCTTTGGTGATAGACTTAAGCTTCTGAGCCTTGTTCTAACCAATAATGGCATACTGACAGATACTAATAAGGAAAAAGACAATTGCCACACTCGGAAGGTAGAAGTTTATGCTAATACAGAATTATCATCAGGGCTAGGAAGGGCTTTCTGGAAGGGGGACATGGGGGGACATTTCATTTTGTTTCTGAATGTGGGCCCAGGGCTGAGATGGATGTACTGGAATCTGTGGGGACAAACAAGGAAAGCAAACTTCCGGACCAGAGCCCAGGGGTTCTACCTTGGTCACTCCTGGGGAAATCATGGCATGTACATTTTTTCCTACCCCCCCAGGCACCATGCAGACAGTTCGAGGGCCCCCACTGGGTGTCACTCACCACTCTCCCCACGCTGAGATGAACAACATTTAAGTCATCTTGGGCTGAGAAGCCCTTTCCCAGGGAGTGTCCCCATGAAGCCAGGCTCACACACCCACCTGGACACCCATTCCAATGTCTAAGCATCCTCACAGGTGGTCCCACTGACTGCCATTCTCAGTCACTGGGCTCCTTGACCTTGTACAGGTGGGCCAAAAGCTCTCCTTCTGCAGGCACCAGAATGTTCCCCAGCCTCCAGCTGCGAAGAGCAAGGGCGCAGCCACTTACCTCAAAGGTGACTGGAGGGATGACAGACCGCCGGTTGGGAGCCTCGGGGCCCTCGTGCAGCAAGGCTTTGACCTGCGGGCACACACACACACACGCCTGATGTTGGGAGGTGAAGGGGGCAGCCTCCTTGGGGACAGAGACAAAGGGCGCAGAGTCTGCGCGCCTGGGCATCCTCTGAGCCAAGAGGAGACGGAAGGGGAGCCAAGAGAAGCTGCAGGAGCCCCAGGTACCTTATCTTCAATCGAGGACAGCAGACTTGTCAGTTGGCTGAGCTTGGTCACCATGTTGATTGGACTGGCCTCACCAGGCCCCTGGGAGATGAGGGAGCGAGCAGATCAGGGCACAATCACTGCAAGGAAGCCACCAAGAGGGATGACCCCAAGTGCTTTCCACACTTCATTGCACCTCATCCCACCAACAACACGGAAGTACTGTCATTAATGTCCTTTGCCGATGTGTCATGGCTGAAAAACAAGTCATTTTTTCTTCCCTCTAAATCTGCTTCTCCCCCAGAGCTTTGCACCTCATCCACTCATTTGCTTAAACAAAGCTCTCGGACTGGACTTGATTATTACCTTCTTACTCCTCCCACACCCACAGCCTTGCTGCTTGCTGCAGCCCCAGTGTAGCGCACCCGCTGCCCGACACCACAGTGCTTCCCGCCACTGGCTAGAGAAGCTTATCCAAACTCCATACCCTGCCCTCTAAGACCACATGAGCAAATGCTCCGCCCCCAGCCACTCGGCCTCACTTCTCATCTGCCCACGGCCTTGAGCTATCTGTCCTTTCTGAGAAATCCCCAGAGACATGGATTTCACCCAGGAAGGCCACCCCTTGTCCTCAGGTCTCAGATCCACGAAGAGGTCTTCCTGAGCATGCTCAAGTAGCCACCTGGGCATCGCTCTCACATGGCCCTGCTTTGTTGCCTATCGATCCCCACGGGCCTTGATTTCTTCACTGTGCATTTCCCCTGCTGGAATGCAAGCTCTGTGAGAACTGAGACAATGCACTCTGTCCAGTGCTGCAGCCTGGGTGCTGGGAACGGTCCCCCAGCCAGCAAAGACACTTGGTGAGGTCATTCGATGCACACACGAGGCCCGGAGAGCTGAAGTTACATGCCGGAAATCACGCAGCTAGCGAATAGCGGAGCAGGTCTTGAATCCTGTTGGCCCGGCACCACGTCCACCATCTCAAGTGTTTATTCCCAGAATAAATAATATAAAGCATCTATCCTGTGCCAAGCACACTGCCAGGTGCTGGAGGTACATAGAGTTAATAAGATACGACCCTTGTCCTCCAGAGGCAGGATGAGAAAAGCAGACAGGTGTATAATTAACCTGAATACTAACCGGAACGGAACGGAACGAGATGTTACCTCATCTCTAACCAAGTGATGTCCCTTTATCCTATCCCCTCGTCCTTGTTTGTCAAGTCAGCCAGGCTGCGCTTGCTTTTGACCTGTTTTCTACCCAGCCACCCGTCACCACCAACAGCAACACCGTCACCACGGCCCTGCCCAGCACAACCACTGTCACCTTCGTCAGCCACTGGCCATCAACCCCCACCCCACGACTGTCACCGACATCAGCACATCCATCAGCACTTTCTCTTACTACTTTGCTTTTAAAAGCTGCCGTCTTTGGTCATGACGACCAGGGGAAAGCCTTGCAGGGGGAACACAGACCACGGCAGGGGCAGAACAGAAAAGCTGGTCAGGAGATGGGACAGCCCAGGCTCTCCTCGTTTTAAGGTTATTTTTCTCCTAAAGGATTGAAAAGGTAGCCAATTTCAACCCCCTCATCCTCCCTTGAGGACACTCGGAATTACCGGCTTACTACCTGGGACAGTCGCCTGGCAGGTTTAGGCTGGTGCCTCCACTCCCCGCACCCCCCTCGCTGAATCTCTTTTGGAGCAGGTTTGGCAAAAACTTAACATAGTGAGAATGGAGTTGCTGAGAAACCCGGGTGAGTACTGGGAACAGAGGGCACGAGAACAACGCTGCGACCCGTCTGCCTGTCTGTCTCTGACTCGGCAGAGCGCACCTGGGGGCTGGATGGGCTCTCGCGCTCCGGCAAACGTAGGAGCGTATCCACTCATTTAATCCACACGCGAGTTGATTCTAATAATCCTTGTTCTGCAGACGGGGAGGTGGGGTCAAAGTGGCAAGTCAACTCGTCCAGGGTCACAACTAGGGGACCCTCCACCCCAGATCTGAATGCAAATCTGGCCCAGTGCTTCTCAGCTGGTGGCGATTTTGCCCTCCAGGGGACTCTTGACAAGCCCATTGGTGTTAGGGGCTGTCACGGCTGGAACATGCTAATGGTGTGTAGTGGGAAGAGGCCAGGTTGTTAACAACCAAGCAGCCTGGAGCGGAGGCCACAGTTCCTGGCTCAGCCTGGAAGCATCGCGTGGCTGGGTCTGTGGGTTTACACAAGCTGACAAGGTATCTCACTTCACTATGAAGCTGACTTTTCAAAGAAGGATGTGGGCCCAAGGTTATTAATGACTCTCCTTCCTCACACAGGACAGACACAGGGCTCCAGGGTCCCCTTCTTGTCCCACCCACCTCTGGGCCAGAGTCTAACATTGGTAAGAGTCTAGCCCAGCCAGGTGGCTCACACATGCAATGTCACTTCCTGCTTAGAGGAACCTGCAGTGTCAGACATGACTGTCCCCATTTCACAAAAGAGAACACCGAGGCGCGCTGCAGGTGAGTCCAAGACTGGACCAGACCATTTCCGGTCCAGGGCTGGAATTCTTTACCTGGGGGAACCTTGAACTCCCTCCTCTAGGTGTGAACTTCTGAAGACTGTTCTCTCTGAGTCAGGGTCTCACAGGTGAGTAGGAGTGAAAACCCTTTCCTGATGCTCTGCCCTGCCACCAATTACAAACTTTGGCCTCAGCTGACCAGCACGTACGGTGTGACCACTGCCAGCGTGCCTCCCCGGAGCTTTTCCCTCATCTAACCGACTTCAAAGATCTAGGTGTGTGGTCTTCTAGTCAAACTGTAAATTTTAGTATCTGGTACCATCCTTATTTTGTCTAGATTTGTTCTGACTGTCCTGTAAATTTATCCATTATTCACCTGGAGGAAAGCAAAATTATCTTTTTCTTTTCTGAAGAATTTTTAAGTTGTACAAGTAGAACACAACACGTATTAATTTCTCACTAAAAAACTCAAATAATATCATCAAAACCTAGGCCCCCTTGGCTGGGACCCTTCTCCCCAGTTTCACGCCCTCCCCCCCACTGCCATGGTAACCAGGGTTGCCCTTTGCGTATAAATCCTTCTGGCACAATTTCGCACCACACTCTAAATACTGTCCTGACATTTGCTTTTTTTTTTTTTTACCCAGTGGTATGCGTTGGAGATCCTCCCGCATCAGTGCATCCAAGGTAGCAAATTCCACAGCAGTTTAACAACCCTCTACCTTTGTGTGGTTTCCAGTGTTTTTGCTTTTAGAGACAAGGCCACACTAAAGAGCTTTGTCAACACCTCTTTGTCCCCAAGACAACTGCATACATACAGGACTGCTTCCTTGGAGGATGCGTGCATTGAACATTTTCATGCTCTCAAGGCTCAGGGCGGCCAGGTCATGATGTCCCACAACGGCCTGTCGATTGTCTCCAACCACGGTGGCCCAGGAGGACGCAGGAGCAGGAGAAGCCCCAACTTTCCTCTGTGTCCCTAAGAGCAGGACAGAACTGTCCCCAAGCCGGGCGCCCTCCCTGCACCCAAGGGCTGAGACACAGCCTTCTCTCAAGTCCGAAGGGGCCGCAGGGAAAAAGCTGCCTGACCGTCTCAGCCCCCGTTGCTGACTTAGTGCTCAGCCCAAGCCCTGCTCACAGCCCTGCTCAGGGCCGTCCCAGCGAGCAGCGGCTCTGCATCATGTCTCTCCCCAGCGTGTTCCTCCACAACCTACGCAGAGATGCTGGGCACGGTTACTTCTATGTGCTTCATTTCCCCGTCGGAGCATCAATCACACTGATTCTCCCATGCGCACGCATTAAACCGGTTTTTCTCCTGTTCATCTAATCTTGTTTCGATTTTATTATTTTATTACTTAGTCCAGCTGTACAAACTAAAGGGTAGAAGGGGGTGATTTATCCCCTCTCCCTGATAATGCAAATGGTCATGTTGCTTTTCAGAAAACCCATTTCACTCCAGCAAGGAAATGAGCCCTCGGGAGTCCCTGCTCAGCTCCACCCCACCCCCAGCTTCAGGCCTGTCTGATGTACAAGAAGGTACCTCCTCGTTCTGAAGGCCATTTTCTGGTTACTAACGAGGTGAGGTTAAGCATCTCTTCCTGGGGACAATGTTGGCCATACCCAGTTCTTCAGTAAACCAGTCTTCTTTATAGCCTTTCCCCATTTTACAAATTGGGGTTTTTTACTTAGTTATTTATTTGTAGACTTTTAAAAAAACATGTTAACTCTTTGTCCCTTATCTTGGCTGCAAGTACTTCCTCTATTTCTTTCCTTGTTTTAAATTCTGCTGATGACACCTTGTTACACAGGTCTTTGTTCAGTGGAGAACTTGGCTTTGGCCCCCTTGGGGCGTGAGCAGGTGTCTGTGGTGGAAGGGGGAGATACACCTACACCCTGGACTTCCTGAAGCAGAGGCAGGAGCAAGGTTTTAGGCACCTCGTGTGTGTGTGTGTGTGTGTGTGTGTGTGTGTGTGTGTGTGTGTGTGTGTTTCTTTCAGTTTCTGAAGAGAAATGAAGGGAGAGGCCCTGCCTCGCTGCCTTAGTCAGCACTAATAGTAGTTTCGCTGATGGATGCATAACTTGAAATCTTTACTTCTGAAATCGAAATCAGGCAGTGGGAAATGCTTTATGGGGGAGGGCGAGGTGGCGTGGGGTGATAGGGCTCTCACCCGTCACCCCAAAGCACACTCTCGTGGTCCAGCAAAACCAGGGTGAGGTGGGGCTCCCTTCGGAGCACTCAGGACACTGGCTACCTCCAAGCCCCATCCCCACCCCCAGTTCATCAAACTCATCCTTCCAACCGCCAACCCTTTACCTGAGGCCGCGGGCGGAGGCCCGGGGAGAGCTGCTGGTCAAACAACCTCTGCAGAGACTCCAGGGAGGGGAGGGTCCGGATGACTTCTCTGGGCACAGGGGAAAAGGGGAAGGTTGAGGGTTAGTGAGGAGCCAGCTGAGGCATCTCTGGCTTCCTCTGGAGCCACATCTGGCGAAGGCAAAAGTCCTTCCCAGAAGAACCAGCCCCGGCAAAGACCCAGGCCTGCCCTCCGGGAGAGCCCACTCCTTCCTGCACCCCGGACCACATGGGAATCATCCAGCTGAGAGCTGATCTACCTCTGTTTCCTCCCCCACGGCCTGTAAAAGACTTGCATCTAGAATCACAGAGCTACTTTGAAGGACCTCAGTAATCCATGCTTCCAACATGCACTGTTGATAAACCACGACTGCCCCCCACCCCCACTGTTAAAAATGCAAATGTCTGAGCCCCAACGGGGTTTGGCTGGAATCTGCATTTTAAACGCCTGCCCCAGGGGCTTCTGGCACCGGAGGTCTGTGCTTCCTGGTTCCAGTCCCCTCCTCCACTCAGGTGGGCCCAGAGAGGTTTCCCCGCGTCTGACCCACCAACAGTGCCAGTACCAGGGCTTTGTGGGGTCTCTGCCCCTTCTTGTCCTGCTCAGTGGCTTTCTCACTGTTTTAGGAGTGGGGGGGTCATTTTGAGCTCCACTTTTCACTTACGTCACCAAAACCATTAAATGTTTTTCCATAGTTAACATTCCCGTTGGCTTCCAGATAATCTATGGAGTGAAGGTGGGTCTTAGATGGGTCTTAGATGTTTGGATTGAGGTCTTGGGGATCATCAGTAAAGGCTGCCCTGCAAAGCTCTGTTCACATGGCTTCTGCTTTCTCATTTTCAGCCACAGTTTAAGGACAAGCAGAGATTATGGCTCAGGCAGTGTTGCCACGCCTCTGAGGGGCGTTCCAAGGACGGGTCATCAGCACTGTCCCAGCCCGGTGGGGGGGGGGAGGGGTGCCGTCTTCATTCCTTCCATTGTGTTCCTTCCTGCCTCCCTCAACACTGCATTTCAATACCGATTAGTTGATTTGCATATCTTTCATTCCTAATGTCATTAAGTACTTTTTTACACGATTGGTTGCAACTGTATTTCTCTTTGTGCAAACTCTTCGCCTTGTCAGTTTTCTGTGGGGAATTTTGTTAGTACTTTTATACATTGACGTAAATTCTTAATAAATTGCTTTTCTTTGTATTTAATCTAGGGTTTGTCTATTTTTTCCCCCATTCTGTTATTTGCTGTCACAGGTGGGCTGGATTTCATTATAAAGTGATTTGTAATTCTTTTTATTGTTCCATTTTTCATCCTTTCTTGGGTAATTTTTGGCTTACCTTAGTCAACAAATTGTCACCAAGATCTACTGGTGAGCAATTCTTTGCTCATGTTACTTTGGCTTCTTTCTTTTAAAAAATGTGTCAGAGGGGTGCTTTCGGACCTGCCGTTCTCTGCGCCCCCATACCTGCCCCAGGTAGGCCGTCATCCTGTCAGTTTCCTCTTGAATTCGGCCGTAATTTAGGAGCTAATCACAAGTACCTAACGGCTGTGGCCAGCGCTGTGACTTCTCTCCATTTCCACCTCCTGGTGTTCTGGGGGCAGGGAGGGGACCTTTCACTTTGTGTGTCCACATCCAGCTGCTCCGCCGAGCACCTGGGTTATTTTTAGGATCACCAGCTCCCAAACATTTTTGGAGGAAATAATTCTTGGATCCTTTTATTTTAAAATTTATTTTTTAAAATTGATTATGCTGTTGCAGTTGTTCTATTCCCCCCTTCATTCCCCTCCACCCTGCCCCCCCATCCCCACCATTACCCCCCTTTAGTTTATGTCCATGTGTCTCAAGTCCTTTAGGTTCTATATTTCCCATGCTATTCTTGCCCCCCCCATCTATTTTCTATCTACTGTCTATGCTACTTATTTTCTGTACCTTCTCCCCCCATCTCCTCCTCCCACTCCCCTGTTGCTAACCCTCCTTGAGATCTTCATTTCTATGTTTCCACTCCTGATCTAGCTGTTCTTTTAGTTTGCTTTCGTTTTAGGTGTGGTTGTTAATAACTGTGAGCTTGTTGTTCTTTCACTGTTCATGTTTCTTTAACTTCTTTTTCTTAGATAAGTCCCTTTAACATTTCATATAATAAGGGCTTGGTGATGATGAACTCCTTGAATTTGATCTTATCTGAGAAGCACCTTATCTGTCCTTCCATTCTAAATGAAAGTTTTGCTGGATAGAGCAATCTTGGTTGTAGGTCTTTAGATTTCATGACTTGGAATATTTCTTTCCAGCCCCTTCTTGCCTGTAAGGTCTCTTTTGAGAAATCTGCTGACAGTCTGATGGGGACTCCTTTGTAGGTGATTGTCCCCTTAGCTCTTGCTGCTTCTAGGATTCTCTCCTTCATTTTAATTTTGGCTAATGTAATGATGATATGCCTTGGTGTGTTTCTTCTTGAGTCCAACTTATTTGGTACTCTCTGAGCTTCTTGGATTTCTTGGAAGTCTATTTCCTTTGCCAGATTGGGGAAATTTTCTTTTATTATTTGTTCAAATAATTTTTCCACTGGTGGCTGTGCCTTTCCCCCCTTCTGGTACCCCTATAATTCGGATATTGGAGCGTTTAAAGATGTCCTGGAGGTTCCTAAGACTCTCCTCATTTCTTTGAATTCTTGCTCCTTGACTCTTCTGTTTGGCCATTATTTGCTTTCTTCTGGTCCACTCCATTGATTTGAGTCCCAGTTTCCTTTTCATCGCTATGGGTTTTCTGTGCAATTCCATTCATTTCAATTAGTTTCGCCTTCATATATTTGTCTAATTTGTCGGTATAATCAACCAGATCTATGAGGATCCTGATGACCAGTGTTTTAAACTGTGCGTCTGAGAGTTTTGCTATTTCTTCGTCGCTTAGATTTATCTCTGGGGCTTTGAGGTCTTCCTGCGACATCTTTGGTCTGTTCTGGCCCTTTAAATGTGAGAAGCGGTGCCTTGGACTCCCAGGTCGCTGGGTTGTGACGCTGTATGTGGGGGCGTGGTCAGAGCGGGGAAATGGCGGCGCCCTCTACTGCCGCTTGCCCCGGGGACGCCGGGGCCCCGGTCCAACCACCCACTCCCTCGCCTGTCTGCTCGCGCGCAGATAGGCGACCGCAGTCAACACGCAGCACCGCCTCCCCACTGTCTCCTCTGCAGTCGCTCACCCGGTGGGTTGCTCGGTCACTCACTAGGTCCAAACCTGCGTTTGGAACCCGTGCGTCTGGTTTCGCGTCTGGATTCCGCGCCCGGGTCTGACCCAGTCCTTCTGTGCAACCCCTCACGAGACGCCAGTTTTGCCCCTTACCGGTCGGGTTGAAGAATTTGTTGTTAACGGACTTCCGAAAAGTTCAATTTTCCGTGTTCTGGTTGTGTTTTCTGATGCTAATATTTAGTTGTCCCTAAACTTGGTTGTGTGAGAAGGCACGGCACATCCACCTATACCTCCATCTTGGCGGAAGTCCTCTTGGATCCTTTTTGAAGCAGAGGCATGGGACTCACACATTTTCACAACTTTTTTTTTTTTTTTTTAATTTGCAAAGACTCCCTGGGCCCTCAAAGGACGTCCAAGGTTGGCCTCGGTCAGAAGCCTCCTCCTTGGGGACACTGTGTCAGAATTTGTATTGCCTCGTCAGAAAGTGTGGATACTACCAAATACTGCATTTTTTAAAGTAACCGTGCTGCTGCACGCCTCTTCCCTCGGGGTTTAGAGACGTGATGAGAAGAGGTTTGGGCGCTGCTGTTGGTTCTTCTGTTCATCGCATCTCGGGGAGGTTTTTTAAATCCTGGATTTAGCTCCTTTAGGAGACCGGACATTTTTTCCTCTTACACACATAGTCATCAATTACGCTCCATATTTTCCTGCTTCTTTCAGAGCCCATCCTACCCGCAATAAGTTGAACCTCTACACCCGGGGTGTCAAACTCGTTTTCACCTGGGGCCACATCAGCCTTGTGGTTTCCTCTGAAGGGCCGGATGTCATTTTAGGGCTGCATAAATGTAACTACGCCTTCATTTGGGGCAAGGAGCTCGGCCCTGCTGCCGGGTAGAAACAAGGTGCCCGGCCAGGTGAAACAGGGTGGAGGCCGGATTCGGCGCCCGGGCCTTGTGTTTGCCGCCGGTGCCCCACTCCCTCTGCAAAGACTGCCGATTTCTATCGCACATCCTCCACGCCTGCTTACTCAGCCCCCCTCACCCCCGCGCCCACCCCGAACTTTCTGAGCATGTTCCCTTGACACTCAGCTCTGTTCTGTGATTTGATTTTCAAATCTGATTAGAAAACTGTGGCTTTATATTTACGGCCTCCAATGAAGCAGTTACAGTGACGGTGAAGCACTTCTGTCTGGGAACTGTCTGTTCACTGAGTAAGACCTTCCCCCTCTCCTCCCTCACCACCTCATATGGTGCCATCTTGTTTTAGAATCCCACTGTCCTCGTTCTCCCTTCCAGGGGTCTCCAAGTCTGTCCAGACCCTGGTGACTTCATTTTCTTTATTTCTCTTTTCTCTCTGGCACAGCCCCTGCCTGGTTCTGGATAACTTCACTTGTGGTCACACATCTTCCTTGAGCGGCTGAAGGTCTCCATTTCCAACACAGGACCAGACCCCCCCCCCATGGCCTTCTGTGGCAGAGGCTCTCACCCTGGGCTCCCGCCTCAGCTCCCTGCCACCTTCCCATTCAGGGTGGCGGTGCTGTGCCAAGTGGTATGAGTGGGTGAACCTGGGGCCCCTTCAGTGTCACCCTCAGACCCCGGTTCCAGCTCCTCCTCCTGTACCTTATCTCTTAACAACCAGGCCGGGTCCCCGTCTCCCAGCTGGATGCCGGTGAGTCTCAGCATATCCCCCAGCCTTGAGGTCTCGTGGACTCTGACTTCTAGCATGAGTCCTGGGTGGACGGCCCGGCTGGTGGCATGTCTGACTGCACCCTGAGCCAACAGCAGCCCAGAGAAAGATCCCCCCACCTCAACCCCTGACTTTCACTCTTCAGTGGCTGGCATCAGTCCCTCGCTGCCCCTTGCTGCCCCTTGCTGCTGCTCACTAAAAATCTAAAGGTCACCTTGCGTGTCCGCTCCTCACGCCACATCCAGTCAGGCAACTCTACTGTCCCTGCATCCTCCAGGTCACACAAGCTCTCAGCGCCTGCACAGCCCCCAGCCCTCAGGTCACTTCACTAACATCCACCAGCTGCTCCTATGTGCAGGCAGTGTCCCCACCCTGGGACTCGGCGGGAAGCAAGGCAGACAGAGGTGTCTGCCTCTGCAGCTTCCTTCTCATGGGCCACTGCCACATCACAGCCACGTCACAGCCACGTCACAGCCATGCCACTGCGCTCTGGTCTCCCACCTTGGGTCTGCCTCCTGGGTCCACGTGCCATAGCCCCAACCAGCTCACACCCCAGTCCCCTAAAACCTCTGCAGGGCCCTGTGCTATGGACACGCTGTGGCTCTGCCAGCGGTGGCCGGTGAAGCGCAGGATGTCCAGTCAAATGTGAATTACGGACAAATGACAGATAGTCTTCCTGCATAAGCATCTCCCAACACTGCACGGTGTGCACTTCTACGAATAGAGCGTTTGTGGTTTATCTGGAATCCAAAGCGAGCTGGGCATCTGGGGCTTCCTGGCTGAATCTGGCCACCCCACGCCTGCCTCTCCCAACCTCCGCTCTGAACCCCTTCCTTCTCTCCTTACGCTCCAGCCATTTGGCTCTTCCTCCTGTTCCTTGCAGGGATGCCTCATTCCCACCTCGGAACCCTCACACCGGACATCCCTCTGCCAAATCGCCGGACGGCTAGCTCCGTCACTGCCTCAGAGAGCTCTCTTTTCCCCACAGGGCACTGGCACCGCCCCCACCCAGTGCCTCTCCACCACCTTTTCCTGCTGTACTTTGTCACGATGCTTACAAAATTATTCTCTGACTGACAGACTTAGGCTACTCTCGTGCCCCTCACTAAGACGTCAGCTCCCACAAGGTCTAAAGAGCAGGAACCTTTTGTGTTGTGGTCATTGCTGGCACCCAGCACCCAGCACCGAGATCAGGGGATGCCTTCCAAACAGCCTCAACGAGTGAATGAATGAACGAGTTCAGTAAACTGAAGAACGGTTCCAACCAAAGCACCTTGGGAACTACAAGTTTATGGTTAGTTTCATGGAACAGCCCCAGCAGCAGTGGGTAAGGGGAGGGGGCTGGAAAACATAATTTTGTTCCTCAGATTTTCTAAAGTTCCCCCTCTCAGTTATGCAAGACTCTAAGTCTGCTATCACTTTTTCCGTGAAGCTGAACACAAGCAAGTATGTGGGGGGAACATCATGGCGTCTCTAATTCTAACTGCTCTGTAAATAAAGACATGGAACAGCTAGAAGCCAAAGGCGGGCGCTCTGGGGAAGCTGCCACCCTGGGAGGTGAGGTGGCCCGGACCCCAGGGCAGCCCAGGTAGCCATGAGGTGTCGGGGAAGGAACTCGGGCACATGCAGAGCAGCTTTAGTGCAGAGACTTAAAAGTACATTTGCTTCTGGACATGGAAGCAGCAAACACCATCTCCACTGGGGCAGAGACGAAAGCTTGTTACCAGTCATCATGAAACTGTTAGTTACAAAGAAAGCGTGGTGTGTGCGTATGTTTCCCTAGTGATAAACGAATTACAACAGCATCATCAATGGAAAAACACCTCTCGTGGGAATTTATAAATAATGATTCTAGGCCCAGTGGACCAAAACTGGATTAGTGGAAAGGCAATTTATTGAAATTAAGCCTGACAGGCCAGTTCCATGAGTGCTGGATTTGTCAAAAAAAATTGTTACATTTACTCATGGTAAATTTTGAAAAAAGGTCAATTTGATTACTGATGATAGATTCTTTTTTTCTTTTTTTTGCATATTTACTAAGCTAAGATGGGTATGGCACCAGAGAAATTGAGAAGAGAGTTTTGAAACTGTTGAATCCGTAATAAAACACAAACCGGTACAGGCCAAAAAAAAACCCTCCCCCAGATGAAATGCAACCTTTTCCAACAAAAATGTTGACCTTTTAGTTATGATGGGGGTCCCTTTGGCTCCTTTTGGTGATTTCTTTCAGATGGTTTTGAATGTTCCTTCTATTTTTCAAGCTTTTAAAGAGAGCATTAAAAAAAATCTTCTGCTGATTTTTTTCAGATGACAGATCAGCCTAAATTTTGTACGTCCAACAGTGAAAATTAATTAAACATCAAATTAATTTTTTGTGAACAAAATTAAAATGTAAAATTAAAGAAAAAGTCTTAGCGAAATTGGAATTTTACCAATTGCTCATTCAGTGAATTGATTCCGTGTTAGAAAATGGAAATGGTGGCGAATAAGCTCACTTGGAAAATGACTGTCACTGACCCCCTTGGGCCAGCACCAGCCACACAGAAAATAGGGCGACTTCAGTTCACTCCCTTTGAGTGTCCGGTGAGCTTGTCGAAGGTGCCGGCTGCTCGAGAAGGGAAACCAGCCCCAAACATCTCAAATGCCAGATCCTGCCCACCCCTTCCCACAGCAACTGGCCTCAAACTAACTTCTGGTTTAAAAAAGAAGAAGTGTTGTAGTTCAAATGGCGTGAAAACAAAACCTGGAAACAACCACGGAGATTTCTGAGCCCTGCAGAGTGCCCCGTTACTCGGAGCACAGCAGCGGATTCAGCAGCCACAGGGAGCACTGGGCCACCCCGCTGGGCAGTTTCTCTTGCCCCCCGCCCCGCCCCCACGGGCACCCTTACCCATAGACCTCCTTGCACAAGAACACTGTCAGTTTCTTCAGGTGAGGGAGGCTGCAGGAGCCCGTCTTCACAAACTCGGCGTCCAGGGCGAGCTGAGTGCTTAAATAGTCCTGGATGGCTTTCAGGTGCTCTTCTGGAAGCCTGAAGACATAGAAAAGAAAGCACGCTTGTCCCGTTCCTTTGGCCACAAACGTGGGGAAGTAAGGAGAAGAAACCCGCATTCTCAGGGTCTCTTGCTGAGACAAGGTCCTTCAGGGGACATCGGCGCAGCTGCACAGTCCCCTGGGTCTCACCAGGGGGTGAGAAGCGGGCGGCAGCAGGATTAAAGGGTCGCATGAGGGAGGGGGCCTCGCGGCCCACCCATAAAGGCTGGAAAATGTCCTGTGAGTTGTGTCCCCGCCTCACCTGTCCCTAAGCACGGGATCTGCGGGCGAGGGAGGCTCTCGTCTGCAGATGGCACGTGGCTCCTGCTCACATGCCAACTGCAAAGTCACAGCCGGAGGCCACCTGCAGCCCTGCATTGGATTCCGAGTGGTCTGGGCTCCTCGGGGGAAGGAAGTCTCTGGGATGAGCAATGGGGGCTGGGGATGTGGCGGTGGGGTGCCCTGCCCTTGGCCTCCCCACATCCAGGGTCTGGTCCAGCGCCTCGATGGACTGCAGGTCGCGCCCACCTGCGCACCTCACACGACAGCCCTGCCGACGGCAGCCCAGGCCACACGGCACCCAGGCTGTCCCCCTGCTCCAATCACACCTCGACATTCTGTGTCCCCGCACTTTTTTTGCTAGGTAACTTTTGAATCTTGGTTCCTCTAATAATAAAAATTAACCACAGCAAATATTTCCTGAGCTCCACCTCCTAAGAACTCCCTGCTCCTTCTCTCCCCAGACCATTGTTGTGAGGCTGGCAGAGTCGTTCCTGTTCCACAAACGAGGAGGCTGAGCTTCAAGGGTGTTTATCTGCCTGTGTGAAAAAACATTCATCGCAAGCCTGAAAAGTCTTTGTTCCAGCCTTGGCAGATAGATAATCGAGTTGGAACTGGTGGGCACAGGCTGGGTTTATTTATTTTTTTTTAACTTGTTTGTTTGTTAGAGTCCTTGAACATTTGAAAAGCTTTTGCTCTTAAGATTAGAAAGGAACGAACTCTGGCTCCTCTAGTTGGAGAAGTCAGCGACCAGTTACATAGCAGGTGTCAAACCATTTACGTTTAATCTATACTTATTCTGAGTCCCGGCATCATAAAAGTCTGGTTTCTGCCCAAGTCCGTCTTCCTAAAAGGGGCAAAATCTCCCCTGCAGTGTTAAGACACGTATAGGACCCATCGCAGTGACCACCGACATGACCATGAGACCAAGAATGCTTGTCGTCGGAAGGTACGTCTGTCCAGCTGTCTGCGGTAGAAAAGTGTGGTCCTGCTGTGCAGAGGCCGACTCGCATCGAGGAGGACCTGAAGGTGGTCCTCTGTGCGCAAAGCTGTTTCACAGGCAAAATAGACGAACTGCGGAACACAAGGAGGGGTCTCGCGGTGATTCATGACCCAGAAGAGAACACAGGGCAGGACTGCGCCACCACGATCCCTCCGCCACACGCCACTCACTCATCCCCAACTCCGAGCAGAAGTTTCAGGAAGGTATGTCAGCTGACAGAGCGAGCAGGCCTCCCCTGCTCATACACCCTCAGCTGCCCCCCACGCCTCTCAAAGACACTGCACAGGGACCTGGCTGCATACACCGTCCCGCCCCACTGGGCCCTGGGCCCTCAAGAACAGCTGTCCCTGCAGAGGAGGGACAGGAGAGGAGATGAAGTCAGGAGGTGCTGGCACCACCAGGCTCCCTGCCAGTTTCCCACAGGAGGTCACTGCACTTGCAACTAAACCTGGAGAGAAAGGCAGACTCAAGGGAACAAGCCAAGGGCTCTCTGCAGGGAGCAGGTCCACAGGCGTTTGCCATTTAGATACATGTATCAGGGTAATCAGGACAATGACTCAGAAGCACTGGGTACTTAGCCAATTGATAAACAGCACAGGAGACTCAGAGTGGGCAGGGCATATAGCCCGGCGGGACTGGGGGAGAATCAGAGGACGTGCTGGGGCGGAAATGTGAGACACCAGGTATCCTAGCAACCAGGAGGCTTGCGTTCACCTGCAGGCAGTTCCTTTGTATTCTGCCAGATCAGGTGGTGGGTGAGTGGCCCTCAAATTGATCTTCCAAGTTGGAGATGTTGCCCTAGTCGAACATTTAGGGGGCCCTTTTCTCACAAAGAAACAAAAATGTTTCTAAATTATGAACGCAGGGAAGTTACCGAGCACTAACTTCCGAATTCATTCAGCACATAAATAGTTAGTGCCTGCTCTGTTCTGGGGGAGGACACACTGGGTGCGGGGGCGCTGGGGCAAGTTCCTCTCACGGAGCTTCCTGGCCTTTTTAAAAAACATTTTGTTTATTTATTTTTAGAGAGAGGGAGAGGGAGGGAGAAAGACAGGAAAAGAAACATCAAGGTGAGAGAAAGGGACATCGATCGGTTGCCTTTCACATGCTCCCCAACCAGGCACAAAACCCTCAACCCAGGCATGTGCCCTGACTGGGAATCCAACCAGTGACTTTTCGCTTAAGCTGGACGAAGCCCAGCCAACTGAGCCACGCAGGTCAGGGCCCCCTGGCCTGTCTTGAAGTCAGGGCCTCTGGTCTGCAAGTCCTGGGCCTGAGATAGAAATGGACCATGAGGCAAAAAAAAGCTGCCAGACCCCGTCAACCTGGACCAGCTGGAGCCAGCATGGGGGCACGCGAAGGACCATGTGCTGGGAACCCCGCATCAGAGCAAGGGAGACTTAAAATATTAGGGTGAATGCACCCACCCCCTCCCATTGCCAAGGGAGAGCACCATGCTGTGCAGACTTCAGTTCCTGCCACACAAGAAGTGATTGCTCTGACCTATTTACTGGTGACAAGGAGGGCGTCCCCATCTGAGCGGGGCCCAGAGCAGGAAAGGGCTATGTGGCTGGTCCGGGCGGCAGGGCAGGCAGCTCCCCAGCCTGGGCCTTCGGACTCAGTAGATGGGGCGGTTGTTGAGGGAGGGTGATGGGAGGAGATGCCGCCTGCAGTGAGCCCCAGAAAGGGAGTCGCAGCACAGGCCCCTCGTGTCTGGACCGGGCCACAGGCAGGAGAGGCTTGCACGTCGTTCCAGAAGCAGCTCCCACCACAGTGGAGCCTGGCAGGGGCGGAGCCTCTGAGCGGGGCCATCGGGAGCCCGTGCAGTGGAGCCGCAGGGTGAGCTGGGCTCCCTCGGGTGTCCCATCAGGCGGCAGGTGGGCTCCACCGCAACCTGTCCTGGGTGGAAGGGGCACCTCCAGGAGTGAACCCTGAGGATGCTGCCTGGGTGCTGTGGCCCTGGGGTGGGTCTCTGAGGGGACCCACCACGTAGGCACTCACCCGCTGGTATCCATGCTCTGCAGCCGCTGAAACAGTGTCTCGGAGAGGCTGGGTCGGCTGACCTCGGTGCCTCTTGGGTTCTCGATCAAGACAGGAACCTCCTTGGTCTCACATGGCCCGGTGGATAGAGGGATGTTTCTTGGCGGCAGCTCAGGCGGAGATGGGACACCTTCTACCCAAGACAAGAGCAGGCGTGCCATGTGGGCAAGCGTGAGCTTCTCTCCGGGTCACTCGCCTACAGAGAGGGCCATCTGGGTCCTCTGTGCAGTGACCCCGCCCCACATACAAGGTCCAGGCCATGGCACCTAGCTACAGACCCCACCTGTGCCCACACTATCCCTGCCACCCCCCGCCCCTGTCCTCCCTTCTTCCCTGACAAGGCGGGGTCCCACTGAGGCCAGAGAACTCGTCTCAGTGGTCTTGGGCCTTAGGGACCTAGCACAGCTTGTCCCACCGAGGCACTCTGCAAACACCTGATGTTTGGGTCTGACGGCCATGCTGGGCAGAGCTCCTGGCCTTGGATAGGTGGAGCCGGTAGCCCTGGGCAGCTCAGCAGGACAGCCAGGCTTCAGGGCCGCAGCAGGGGCCCCAGACCAGGGACCAGGGACCAGGTCACAGAACAGGAGGGGCAGGACGGGGAGCAGGCAGACCCGGACTCACAGCCTGCCCTCTCCTGCCTTGCTCCCCTGTCTCTGCTTTCCCTCCGGCCTCTGCCCTCCTTCTCCCCTGCCCCACCCCCAGACCCTCAGAGACAAAGAAATGGAGGGGTCTTCCTTCGCCAAGAGAACTGAAACAGGACACAAGACTCGAAGTCGGTCTGGGAAGTAAAACTCCTGCCCATTCACCCTTCGGAGAACTCCCATTCTCCATGCACCACAAGCCCACCAGGGTCCTGAGCCCCGAGGGTCTAGGACCTTCTGCTTGAGCCTCTTCCCACACTAAATGGCTGCCCACGGCCTTGCCCAGGAGCTACTTCTTTAAAGGCTCAGCCCCTCACTTCCTCTCCGGGTGGGGCTCTTTGCTTCTTGAGGTGGTGGCGTCTGTTGTGAGCCCCATGGGGACGGGGACAGAGGTGCCTCGAGAACACCTGGGCTTCGTGTGGGGAAGGGAAGCCTGTGGTCAGCAGGCTCTTTCTCCGTCCGGCCCTTACGGAAGGTCTGTCCAGGTGGCCGCCGCAGAGGGGCAGAAAAGTGGGCTGGGGCCGTATGGCTGGCGAGGACCGAGTGTGGGGAGGACATTTCTGCAGGATGGCCTCTCGGCGTCAAGGCCAAGACTGGCTGCCTGGGGACAACTCGGGGGTGTGTGGCTGTGGCACAGTACCAGTGAGTGACCCTGGACTCACATATGGATGTATCAGCTGTGGCTCTTTCACAGCTGGAGGGAGACATGACCTCCCTGAGTCCCCCTCAGCCCCCGGAGCTGGGGTCCTCTGGAAGCCCTCCGCCTGGCCCCAGCCCTCTCCACCGAGCTGACCAGGCACCTGAGGCAGCGAAGAGCCAGCTGAGCAATAGCTCCAAGTGGGTGGCCGGGAAGGGCAGAGGAAGGGCTGTGGTCCACAAGCCAGCCCAAGGGAGCAGGATGAATGGGGCGCCAGGCACGTAGCTGTCAGCGTCGGGTGGGGAGACAGGCCAGGAGCCCCCCTATACTGTCCACCGTCTCTGCTGTAATCTGCCCCCCCTCAGAGGCGACCCTGGGGACCGGGCTGTTTCCAGGCCCTGGAGTTTGGGGGGGTCCTGACCTTTTCAACGGAAGGGCTCACTCTGTGTCTCGGGCTTTTCCTTTAGGAAGGGAACTTTAAAGGGGCAAAGAAGGGCTCCCCCAGGGGGCATCCGCCAACCCCCGCCCCGTGAGTTCTTGCTTGTACCATCTGCCCCGAGGGGTCCTGTTCTGTTGGTCCAAGTCCCTCCGTGGCTTACCCAGTGGGGCCGCCTCACACAGGCCTTTTTAGGGTCTGTACCTTTCATTTTCTTTCTTTTTAAAAAAGACTTTATTTATTTATTTTAGAAAGGGGGAAGAGAGGGAGAGAAACATCAATGTGTTGTTGCCTCTCGTGTGCTCCCTACTCGAGACCTGGCCTGCAACCCAGGCATGTGCCCTGACTGGGAATCGAGCCAGCAGCCTTTCTGCTCGCAGGCCGATACTCAATCCACTGAGGCACCCCAGCCAGGGCCCTTGCATTTTCTTTGAATGAGGATATAAAGAAACTCCTTCCTCACCCTTCCAGTTAGCTGCAAGGATTTCTTGCTCCTTCACTCTCTCCCCAGTGAAATGCGGCTAATTATTCTGAAGATGATGGCAGCATTGATTGAGCGCTTACTGTGTACACTAGGCTCTGGGCTCGTATCTACTGACTCATTTCATGACAGCCTGCGAGGGAGACGCTGTTTTTACTGTCTCTGTAAGAGAAGTCTGCGGACCGGAGGGGCTAAGTGATTCACCCAAGGCCACTCAGCTGACATGCTGAGTGGCCAACTCAGGCCCATCTGACTCCAGAGCTGTGTCCTAACTTGTCCTTAGCCACTGTATCACGCTCGCTCCCTCCGGTCATCGGACCCACCTAGTCTACGAGCACCTGTCATGAGAGGACCCTACAAGGTCTCTTCACCACCTACTGCTTCGAGACCAGGGTCCCGAAGGCGCTTCCCACAGCAGGCAGCTGCCTGCCCCCCGCCCCCACCTACCGGTCTCCTCCTCTGGCTCGTCCCCGGGGTCCTCCTCCTCCAGCGGCACTGGGTACTGCAGGTGGGTCACCAGGCCCATGTTCTCCTTCTTGTAAAACTCGATGAGCTGGTCCAGCTTGGTGAAGAACCTCATGGGGACACCTTCAGACGCCTGCAGACAGAACCCCCAACAGAGGCAAGTTGGACGGGCGGGGACATCACCCAGCTGCAGAGGCCACCTGCAGTGGAGACCCAGGGGGCTGCGGGAATGACCCCGTCCAGAAAAAGCCCGGGGCCGGTCAGCCCACACCTCACACCCCGTAACCAGTGGCCCCGAGAGGCACAAGTGGGACCATTTGAAAGGTTTTTTTTCTTTCAGTTAAAAAACATATTTTTAATACAAGTAACATATATTTTCATTATGGCAAAACTAGAAAATACAGAATTAAAAAAAATAAATTGTCACCCACAACCTTGAGATGCCTATTTTCAATAATTCAGAATGTTTTTCTAGACTCTGTGTGTGTGTGTGTGTGTGTGTGTGTGTGTGTGTGTGTGTGTGTGTGGTGGGGGAAGACACCTTCTTCAAAAAAATTGCTTATTTTTAAATACAGGATAAGTCTATCCTAGCAATTGTTTTGCTTTTATTTTATATATGTTTTCATTTGCTACAATTCTGTCTTTTTTAAAAAATATATTTTATTGATTATGCCATTACAGTTGTTCTGTTTCCCCCCTTCATTCCCCTCCACCCTGCACACCCCCTCCACCCCATTCCCCCCCTTTAGTTTATGACCACGTGTCTCAAGTTCTTTAGATTCTATATTTCCCCTACTATTCTTGCCCTCCCCCTGTCTATTTTCTACCTACCGTCTATGCTACTTATTCTCTGTACCTTCTCCCCCCTTTTCCTTCTCCCACTCCCCTGTTGCTAACCCTCCATGTGATCTTCATTTCTATGGTTCCACTCCTGATCTAGCTGTCCTTTTAGTTTGCTTTTGTTTTAGGTGTGGTTCTTAATAACTGAGTTTGCTGTCCTTTCACTGTTCATCTTTTTTATCTTCTTTTTCTTAGATAAGTCCCTTTAACATTTCATATAATAAAGGCTTGGTGATGATGAACTCCTTGAATTTGATCTTATCTGAGAAGCACTTTATCTGCCCTTCCATTTTAAATGAAAGCTTTGCTGGATAGAACAATCTTGGATGTAGGTCTTTGGATTTCATGACTTGGAATACTTCTTTCCAGCCACTTGCCTGTAAGGTCTCTTTTGAGAAATCTGTTGACAGTCTGATGGGAACTCCTTTGTAGGTGACTGTCCCCTTATCTCTTGCTGCTTCTAGAATTCTCTCCATCATTTGAATCTTGGCTAATGTAATATTTCTGGAAGTCTATTTCCTTTGCCAGGTTGGGGAAGTTCTCCTTTATTATTTGTTCAAATAAGTTTTCCACTTGTTGTTGTTCCTCTTCCCCTTCTGGTACCCCTATAATTTCAGATGTTGGAACATTTAAAGATGTCCTGAAGGTTCCTAAGCCTCTTTTCCTTTTTTTGAATTCTTGTTTCTCCATATTTTTGTTTGGTTGGTTTTTTTCCTCCTTCTGGTCCACTCCCTTGATTTGAGTCCCAGTTTCCTTTACATTACTATTGGTTTCCTGTGCATTTCCCTTCATTTCAATTAGTTTAGCCTTCATATGTTCCTCTAATTTGTGACTAAAATCAACCAGTTCTGTGAGCATCCTGATCACCATTGTTTTGAACTATGCATCTGAAAGTTTGGCTATTTCTTCGTGGCTTAGATTTATTGGCTCTGGGGCTCTGAGTTGTTCTTGAGCCATGTTTTGATCTGTTCGTGCCTGTTACGTATGAGGAGCGGAGCATTAAGTGTTCACCAGGGCAGGGCCACCCAGGTCACTGAGTTGGAATGCTGTATGTTGGGGCAGGTCAGAGAGGGACAATAGCGGTCCCCTCTGCTGCTTCCTGCCACTGGGGCCTGCGAGGTCTGTCTCAGTCTCACTGCTCGCTCCTTCACTGGTTTATCTGCTCAATAATGTGTGACCGTGGTCAGCCCTCAGTGAGTCCACCCGCTTCTCCACACCTGGGATCCGCCCACAGCTGCTGGTGCACCTGGGTCGCACACCCTGGTCGGTCCAGTGGATCTTTCCTGCCTGACCCCGCTCCACTGCTGGCTCTGCCCCTCTTACCGGTTTGGCTGAAGGGTTCGTTGTTATCAGACTTCCATATAGTTCAATTTTCTATGGTTTGGCTGCATTTTTGTTGCTAAAACTTTGTTGTTTTTAAATTTGGTTGTGCGAGAAGGCACAGTGTGTCCACCTACGCCTCCATCTTGGCGGAAGTCTCCTACAATTTTGTCTTTTCAAAGCTTAGAAAAGGAGTCAGCACAAGAAGTTTCCCTGGTTTGTATCTCTGTTGCCGGTGACAGAGGAGCCGGGAGATAATGATAATTCCCTGGGGCGGGTTATTCTCCTGTGACTTTAGCAGGAAGTTCCAGCATGTCCCTGGGCAGCCAGCCCCTTCTGGAGAAGCTCTGTTTAGGGGAGCCCCCACCCACTGTCTCATCCTGCTTGAGGCCCCGCCCCTGTTGGCTCCCCCTGAGGGCTGTCAGGCAGCAGGGAAGGCGGGAGAACCACCAGGAGTTTCATCTTGGCATCAGTGCTGTGCCTGGCAGCTCCTGACCCCACGTGTCCCAGCATCTCCTCTCTCCTCCGGTCAGTCCAGTGTCCTGCTCTGCCACTGCCTGGTGTTCCCTGTCACAAGGAATGGCACTGACATCTGCCCACTGGCACAGAGGGCAAAGGGAGACACAGTGAGGCAGGGTGTCCCTGATTCAGCCGAAGAAGATGCTGAGCAGGGCGGCCGCCTTGAGTGGAGGAGGAAGGGGCAGCCAGGCTCCAGGGGACACAGTGGGCCTGGGGCAGCTGGGGCACGAGGAGCAAGGGACCAGTCAGGCTGCTAGTGGACACGGGTGAGCACCCGAGAGGCTCCCCCCTGGGTGGGGCTTCCTTGGCCTCGTGGGAGCGCAGTGGGTCTTAGCTCTCTGTGCCCGCGATTCCCCCGTTATCGTAACCACTACCTGGGCAGTGACAGGTGATTTTTAAATGAGTTGAGAGGCCCTGGCTGGGTAGTTCAGTTGGTTAGAGTGTTGTCCCAATGCACCAAAATTGTGGGTTCGATCCCGGGTCAGGGCACACATAAGAGTTAACCCGTGGATGCATAAATGACTGGAACAACAAATCAATTTCTCTCTCTCTCTCTCAAAATCAATCAATAAATTTTTTTTTCCTGAGTTGAGAAAGTGCCATTTTAAAGTTGGAGGTCGGGGGTCCAACTGCTCCCCTGCAGGCTGCCAGTGCCGTCTTGCCCGCCGCACGTGGAAAAGGGGGCCAAGGGCAGAGAGGGTGGCTGTCCGAAAGCCCACCCGGACTGGCGCAGCCCCGGCTCCAGGGCTGAGTGCGGCTGGGCCGTCTGGACTCACTCCCCGTCGGGGCAGGTGCCGTCTGCTCCGGCACGGCTGGGCCCGACGTGGCAGGGTGGCGCCGTGTCCTCGCCTGGTCTCGGGGCTGCGGACACGTGGCTGAGGCAGACGTGGCGGAGGGCAGACGAGGCAGGCTGACCCAGACTGGGACAGACCCAGGTGTCTGGAGGAGGACCAGGACTCGGTCCTGCCCCTGGGCCCTTGCTCCCGGCGGCTAACCCCCAGTGGTAGCGAGGGCACTTTTACCTTCAATGAGAACCACCCCAGCCCCTCAGCTTGACCCCAGGGGCTTCCCTCGCAGCCTCTCTTCCCCCCAAGTGTCCTTGCATGTTCATGCGCACAGCCCGTGTGTGTAAACCTGTGCGTGAGGGCGCGTATGTGTGTGCTCAAGTGTGGGCCTAAGCCACTCAGAAAATTTGTAGAGTTTAATAAAAAGGTTTTTAAGAGCATTAAAAAAAAATAAGTCCCCTTGTTTCCACAGAGCCCACGTGACGCAGGCACACCGACCTGGAAACACCTGAGCGGGTGCGGCTGGGCCGCCTAATAGGTGACTCGGACAGTTTCAAAACCAAAAGTGAGCAGAATGACAAAAGTCACTTCAAATGACACAAGATCAACAAACCTGAGTCAGCGAAAGCAGCCGTGACAAAAGCGTTGCCCCGCCCGAATGCGCAGCCAGAGGCGACACGCCGTTGATTGGGGAAAGGGTCTGAAGACATCACAGAAGGTCCCTGGGGAATGACGGTGCCCAGGTCTGGAGAAGGACCCCCCAGCTGGGGGACGCCTGGGGATGTGTGTCCGAGAGCACGCGTCGGGTGTGGGGGTTGCGGCCGCTGGCGCTGAGACACGCGGCTTTGCAGGCTGCTGGAAAGCCCACATGGAGACTGCCATGTACCATCAGCCGCGGACACATTTGATTTCAGAAACGAAAAGAAATAAGGGCCCTAGAACTGGTGAAAAACGCCATGCACAAAGCACACAGTACAACAGGATGCTCTAAAATTAATCGAATCACCCCAAAATAAATAAAATTAAACTAACCTAGTAGTCCCTACAGATCTACTCAGGCAGGAGACGGGAGGCCGGTGCTGGGTGCCGAGTGCTGCTGGCAGACCAGTGTGCAGGGATCGCTTGCCCTTGAACTGTTCACAGAGGCTGGGAGCCAGCGCCTGGCAAACCAAGGCTGCTGGACAGCCAGGTGGCTCAGGTTCCCAGGAAGGTAGAGAATGAGGGTCAAGTCCAGACCTCACAGGTGGTAGAGCAGCCTCTCTGGCTACAGGTAGGCAAGCCAATGAATGGCCGTTCGCAGGCATTGCTAGGGGAGGGGTACCTGCCTGCCCCTCCCCCACAGCTCAGGCGAGGAAGTGCCCAGGAAAAGCAAGAACGTTGTGCAGGAGACAGGTCTGTGGTGGTGGATCCCTCCTGAAGGGAAGACTCCGTGGGCAGAGGTGGGTCAGCAGGCAGCTGCCTGCCTGAATGGGGAACGCAGACGGACACACAGACATGGAGACGCCCAGGAATGCTGAAGGCGGGGAGCCTCCTAGGCCAGAGGTAGGGTCTCCTTGGAGGAAATTGTTCCCAAGAGTGTTCCCAGTAGTCTTTGCTCTGGTCACTAAGACTCGAAGGGGCTCACAGGGACTCCTTTGGGAACCTATGTGCAAGGCACATTCTCGAAAAC